GTAAAATGTTGGTAAGGGCTGAATTGGAGTGATAGGTATATGTGGATTCATTGTCTCTAATGAATAAAAATATAATATCATGGGTTCATTATTCTCTCTACTTTTGTAAATATAAGTAGCACAATTCTCTTATTCTTCTAGGAACACCAATAAATAAATACACAATTTCGATATAAGAAAATAATAAAGATGCATGCACAAGTTGTGCCTGGGAGCAAAAAGTGGCCCAAATCAGCTTGAGCGAAACTGAACAGGACTGACGGGTGGAAAGAGCCCGACTCTAGTGTCATACTGCCTGGGTCCAAATTCCAGCACTGCCTCTTTTTACCTATTTGACCTTGGGTATGTAACTTAGCCTCTCTGTGCCTCAGTTTCCTCTACAATTAAATGGGGTATACTTGAGGATCAAATGAGATCAATCCTTGCAAAGCCCTTGAAATAATCCCTGACACATAGTAAATGTTATGTAAATTATTTGCTATCATTTAGTACCATTATCAATGTTAATAGAAGGCTTTTCAGAGATGTCTTCAGGTAGAGATGTTTCAAGAAAAGGTCAGAGAAAAGCAACATAATGAAGGCCAATTAGGTGTAGCTATAGGGGTGTGTGTGTGTGTGTGTGTGTGTGTGTGTGTGTGTGTGTTGAGGGGAGTAAGAAGGAGAAAGTAATTGTGATTCCCACATTTTTAGTTTTTGTGACCAAATGGATAATGATATCAGCTGCCTGCCAATGTAGAAGACACAAGAAATGGGGGTTTAATCCCTGGGTCAGGAAGATCCCCTGGAGGAGGGAATGGCAACTCACTCCAGTATTCTTGCCTAGAGAATCCCATGAATAGAGAAGCCTGGCAGGCCCGAGCCCATAGGATCGCAAAAAGTTGGACACAACTGAAGTGACTTAGCGTGCACTCACACATCATTAACAGAAGGAGAAGAGGTGAAAGAGAGTTTACCACTTGAAAATTGTGTTTCTAATCATATAAACAAATGACAAAGTATTCAGCAAACTGAATTACCTCAGAATGAAAATAGTTCCCCAGACTGAGAAGGTAAAAAACTAATGAAAATCGGCAGCATGCAATTTAAATAATAAAGGTTCTAAAAACACTGTAGGAGAATTTATCTGGATTTGTAAACATTATTGTTACACAGTTCACACATATAACCTGTTCATGTTCACATATAACATGAACAAATGAGCCCATTTTAGCACTAGAAGATAACTGGAAATAACATTTCCACAATCTAGCAACTCAGATATTAGTGGAATTGACTTAAAGTAAATATATATTTGTAAATGGTTATAATTTTAAAAGGCAGCTGTCATTTCATCAGTGTTTTCAGTACTTCTTCAGTTAGGGTTTGTTTCATGTTTCCTTGTGATCTCTGAGGGGATGACACAGAACTGATGCTGTATTCTCTTTGTTTCCTATCAGGTAGCATATAATTTTGATTAGTCTCATTATTGGTAATTTTAACTTTCAGCATTTGATTAAGATGGTGTCTGCCAGGTTTTCCCACTAGAAAGTTACTCTTTCCTCTTTTAAAATGTAGTACTTTTTTGGTGAGGTTATTTTTAAGCCTATGCAAATACTTTGCAACAAATGGTTTTATTAATTTATTTATATCAATATGAACTCATGGTTTTCTATTTTATTTATGGAGTTATAATCGCATCACTTATTGTGATGCTGAAATTTCCCCTGATTTGGCTAATGGAAGCCCCCTTCAAGCAGACTTGTGTTCTTTCCACACATTATTTTTTGATGTGGGCCATTTCTAAAGTCTTTGCTGAATCCGCTACAGCGTTACTTCTGTTTTATGCTTTGGTTTTTTGGCTGTGAGGCATGTGGGATCTCCCTGACCAGGGACTGAACCCGCACCGCCTGAACTGGAAGGGGAAGTCTTAACCACTGGACTGCCAGGGGAGTCCCCTGACACATCATTTTTGAGCACTTTCTACCTCCTAGCACAAGGTGTCTCAAGTACATCTTATTCTTTTCTTGCTCCTGACCTAGAGTCAGCCATTTCTCTGAGGGGTCCTATTTCTTTTTAATGAACAATGGTGTTTGGAAGCCAAGATATGGACTCAGATGTGCATCCACTGTTATTGGGGCATCTCTGCTCAAAGGCCTTCACAATGAAAAAGGTAGGGAATAAATGCAGGTATGTGACATATACACACTTTATATCCAGTTTACCCCATACTTGTATTGAAACCTGTGAGTTCACATGTGCTGTGCTTAGTCACTCAGTTGTGTCCGACTCTTTACGACCCCATGGGCTGTAGCCCTCCAGGCTCCTCTGTCCATGGGGATTCTCCAGACAAGAATACTGGAGTGGGTTGCCATGCCCTTCTCCAGGGAATCTTCCAACCCAGGGTTCGAACCCAGATCTCTCTCACTGCAGGCAGATTCTTTACCATCTGAGCCACCAGGGAAGCCCATGGATACCTCTAATTCCAATCTAGCACTAGAGGGCTCATTCTAACTTTCCCCCTTCCCATACAGTATTTCTAATTCCCTTCTCTGACAGTGAGAAACCTGGCTTTTATTATCCTCGATATATTTACGTATTGCATGTATCCCCCTATGTAACCCAACTGCCACTGCCACCATCCCTTCCCCACAGAGATGCAGCCAGCTCTCAGCCTGCACAAAAGCCCTCACCAAGCCTGAACACCAAACAGCCCTCTCAGGTGCCCTCACCCCATGTTTGTTCCAAAATCCTATTGCATGGGGGTTGCCTCTCCACTAAATGCCATTTTTGCCCATCTTTTGCTCTGACACGCTGCACAGGTTCTGGCACTGCACACCAGGGCACTCCTTTGTGGGGGTGCCCTCCCCTGCTTGCTGGACTCCAGCACCTAATTCTGGGCCCCCGTGTCTCACCACCCTGCATAGACTCCTACTTTATTTGGTTCCACCTAATGGCTTTAAGGGCTTTCCTAAAGCCCCTAACAAGGTAAAAAAAAAAAAAAAAATCTGCCTGCCAGTGCAGGAGACACAGGAGACACAGGATCAATCCCCGGGTTGGGAAGATCCCCTGGAGGAGGAAATGGCAACCCCCTCCAGTATTCTTGCCTGGACAATCCCATGGACAGAGGAGCCTGGTGGGCTATAGACCATGGGGTCACAAAGAGCTGGATGCGACTGGGCAACTGGGCATGCACACAATGGCTTTAGGGCTGAATTATTCAGAAATGGAAGAGGAAAAACAATACACTTGTTTTTATATGAACTCACTGCCTTCTGTTATTAAGACATTATTTTTGACCCTATATTATTTTGATCATGACTTAGCTAAATCACTCATATAATTTTTCCTTTAAATCAGTATATTTCATAAAGTACTGAGTTTACTTAAGACAATTAATTTGTGCATAATCTATGATATCTCATATCAGTAGTTTATCTAGCTTCTCCAACATTTGTTTCAAATCACAACCTCAATTAAAAGTGTTTTTATCCAAAATCAGTGTAGAAGTCAAAATCCTCACTTAGGCCATTAGGCTTTACATGATGTTATCTCCTCTTCCCCCTCCCCAGCAGATTCCTCCACGCTGGCTCGGCCCTTTCCTGCCACTCTGATCTCTATGCAATCCTTCAAATAGAAAAGCCACTGCTGTCTTAGGGCATAGGGCCTCTACCCTGCTTTGTTTCTCTTCCTGAAACACTTTTTCCTCAGATGTCCCCATTGCTCATTCCAGTGACTCCTTCACATTTTTGTTCAGATGCCACCTTTTCAATGAAGTCCACTCTGACAAGCTTATTTAAAATTGCAACTGCTCTTCACCTCATTTTCCCTGTTTTCCATAGCACTCCCCACTTTCTAATATACTATATTTCTTATATTGCATATTACGTTTATATTTCATTGTCCTTCCTACCATCGCCACTAAACTGTAGCTCCACAAGGGCAGAGATTTTTAACATTTTGTTCATTACCTAATATTTATTGAATGAAGCCATCTATCTCCTGAGGCAGTTTAAAATCCCAAAACCAAATTTAGGGCACCATCTAGTGTTCTTGGAAGGATGTGCTGATTTACTGTGAGACTTAACTACATTGATGGTGGTTTAGTCGCTAAGTCAGGTCTGATTCTTGCGACCCCACGGACAGTAGCCTGCCAGGCTCCTCTGTCCATGGGATTCTCCAGGCAAGAGTACTGGAGTGGGTTGCCATTTCCTCCTCTAGGGGATCTTCCCAACTCAGGAATCGAACCCAGGTCTCCTGCATTGCAGACAGTATCAACTGAGCTACGAACAGTACTGGTATACTCAATTCTCAGTAACTCTTTTTACTGCCCTCTATAGTACTATAAAAAGTTAAAAAACAAACAGTAAAATGATTTCAATACTTTACCAGTCATGGGAAATAGATGGGGAGACAGTGGAAACAAGGTCAGACTTCATTTTTTTGGGCTCCAAAATCACTGCAGATGGTGATTGCAGCCATGAAATTAAAAGAAGGAAAGTTATGACCAACCTAGATAACATATTAAAAAGCAGAGACATTACTTTGCCAACAAAAGTCCATCTGGTCAAGGCTATGGTTTTTCCAGTGGTCATGTATGGATGTGAGAGTTGGACAGAGAAGAAAGCTGAGCGCTGAAGAATTGATGCTTTTGAACTGTGGTGTTAGAGAAGACTCTTGAGAGTCCCTTGGACTGCAAGGAGATCCAACCAGTCCATCCTGAAGGAGATCAGTCCTGGGTGTTCACTGGAAGGACTGATGCTGAAGCTGAAACTCCAATACTTTGGCCACCTGATGTGAAGAGTTGACTCATTGGAAAAGACCCTGATGCTGGGAGGGATTGGGGGCAGGAGGAGAAGGGGACGACAGAGGATGAGATGGCTGGATGGCATCACCAACTCGATGGGCATGAGTTTGAGTAAACTCCGGGAGCTGGTGATGGACAGGGAGGCCTGGCATGCTGCGATTCATGAGGTCGCAAAGAGTCGGACACGACTGAGCTACTGAACTGAACTGAACTGAACCAGTCATGGGACTTACTGGCTTCTCTAACAGCAGTCTCTTCTCCAATGACTTGCCTATTGATCCCGAGAACTGGGGAGTAGTAATGTCATAAAGGCCTATGTCTTTTAACTTTTGGGAATCTCCCCTCTCCCCACTACCAAAAAACAGAGTAATAGCCTCTGCTGGTTTTGTACCTACACCGTTTCTCCAGAATAACACAATATATATTGATTGATTAATTTTTTCTTTTTTTGGCTGCAAAAGTCTCTAAATCAAAGTGATAAAACACTAGAAAGGATAATGGTAATATTATTTAAAATACTATCCAGATTCTCAACAATGAGGAAAGTCTTCTGATTCAGAAAACAATGGCTTCTTTAGTTAAAGAGGGGGAAATAAAGAAAATGAATGCTGCTTTAAAAGCATTAAAACATTTAAAATTTAACAGTTAAATAATAAAAAGAATACTTAGCTTATTCTTACTGAAAACTTATTGTGCCCAGCACTATTCTGAAAGCTCATTAAACATCTTCTGGACTCTACCACGTAGGTTCTCTACATTAAGCCCCACTTTTTAGATGACAAAATGGAGACACAAAGAAATTACGTAACTTGCCTGAAGTCACAAAACTAGTAAAGACTGAAGCTAAGATTTCAAGTCAGCTAGGTTTGCTCCACAGTCCATGTCCATGAGCTCATGCTCATGTTTTTATTCACCTCCCCAAAGAAACAGGAATAATGCTTCTTGGGTTCAAGGTTCTCAGATTGGTGAAAAAAGATTAGTTTACACTGTCTTCATCTTCCAAAAATGAATCAAGGCAACCATAAAAGAAACAGCCATATACAATTATCCTAGAAATAAAGTTTAGTTCTTTTCAGAGTCAAGAAGTAGAAGCTATAGAACTTGCCTTCTAAGGATTTATGCTTTAGTCATATATATACAATCTAAGGCTGTGGCAAACAGCAAAAACAACAATAGTATTGATATTAAGATCAAAGGCTAGAGGGTGGCTTGCACTAGCACAATGAAGAATCTGATAGTCCTGGTTGCCCACCCACCTCTTTTTGCAACACATTCCTCAGAACATTTTATTCTACTCCCAACTGCCCAAAGCTTTTCCCACCTCTACCACTGGTTCAAATGTTTTAGAGTAGATGGAAGTGACTCAGGATCCCCAGTTACCAATTAATATACTCTTGAATTTTGTTCAACTCAGTTGGATGTAAGAAAAAAACCTGAATTATCTGTTAAAGTGAGTCTCATTAAGGAGTGATTTATTAGGTAACATCTAGAATTATTTGCAGTATATATTACGCTCTTAAAAGGAGTATGTATTACCCCAGAATTTGAAATTGATGGAGTCTTTCAGGGGATATTTTTAAGAAGTAGGATTCCCAAGCTCTCTAGATGATTCTGGAAATGGTGCCCCTCTCACCACCCTCAGCTAGAACTAAAAACTCTTTCCTAAATGTTTACTTGACTCTTTAATAGTCTAAAATACACAGTTATTTGGATAAGGAAAATGGTTATCTTCCATTCTGGAGAGAAATTTTCAACACGTGGTTTGAGGATGAGCTGCTTTGGACTCACCTGCAAGATTCCCAGCCCTACCTCTGACCAAGGGCATCAGACTCTTCTGCCAGGCTGAAGATAGCATAATCTGTATTTTAACAACCTCCCCCAGATGACTTTTATATGTGCATAAGTTTGGTAACCACTAACCTAGGGGGATCATTTTAAAAAATAAAACAGCACTGTCATTTTGGTTATTGGATCTTTTCCTATTATATAATACCACAGACCAGAACTCCAAGAAGTATCATGTAAAAACCTAATTATAAGAAGATCAAATATAATTTTAAGAGACTAATAATTAACAAGTCTACTTACCAAACTGTATATCTTTTTGTTGTAAATTATATGTGTGAAACGTCTCAGTGAATTCTTTGGCGGATGTCGTTTAATCCTGCCTCGCCTTCCATAAAATTAACTAGCTGGCCAAAGTTTTTTTTACTATGCTACCCACACCTGAGTCTCTAGGAACCCCTGAGGCATACTCTGAACAAGCCTCATTTCCTCTATAAAAGAAATTGAGTTTGATCAACTGCACAGAACTTAGGCTGATTAAACTTATACTAGCTATCAAAGGAAACTGCAATCTTGCAACTTTAGCCGTGTTTTAAAATAGGAAATACAATTATTTTTCTGGATGAGCAGACTGAACAGTAGCCTAAAGTACAGAATCCAAGCAGAAAGCCTTTTAAGAGTCTTTCTAGTTTTAGAATTTGACTGAACTGCCTCTCCACACAACTAAATAGTCAACTTGTTTTTGTTTGCTTTTTAATCAGTTGAACCCAGGAAGAATTCCTTGCCCCTCTCTGATAATATAATAGCCTCTTGAGAACCCTTTACAAAAATACAGTTTAGAAGCATGGAACATACAAAAAAGGAAATTAATTAACTTGATGATGATACCCCACCCAGGTAATTCAGATACCTAAGATAATTTTTCATTGGAATTATTTAGTTTGGCCAAGTTAACAGGTCAAACTTCAGTTACACCGTATAATTACTCTTCTTTCTTACACTTTGTTTTCATTTGTCACTTACTCCTGATTCTTATCAATTGTCACTAACTTTCTTCTCCTTCACTTACAATCTATTCACAGTTCAACCAAGAATTCACTTACTGTGAAAGTCTTCTTAATTCAGAGTCAGATTGCATCCCACTGTGCTGATAGAGTAGACAAGAAATGTCCAAGGCCAGAGTTGTGTTGCTGAGATCTGTACCATGCCGATGCCCGGTACATTCAAGCAGCTGGCAACCAGTAACACTGTAGGAACTGATTCCAAACCACCTTTCAGAAACTAAAGATCTCATATACAGGGTGATTCATTCATAAACAATTTAAGGGGAGATCTCTTACTGAAAGTTATTAAAAGCTATGAATAATCCCGTGAAACTACACTGCAAGTCTACTTGGGAAAACTTTAAAAATTTGATCTTATTTTTCTTTTAAGAGATCCTGGGAAAATCTAGTATTTTAGTTTAAAGTAAGTAACTTCCATTCCAGTTACTGTATTTGGATTTGTTCCACCGTACCTGGATTCATTCCAATTTATCTGTGGAACTGGGCAACTAATAGTCTTTATTCAACATTTCTTATATTTCTTGAATGAAAATGGGATGGACTACTGGGATTAATGGCTGGTTCATAGTGTCGCAAAGAGTTGGGACATGACTGAGCGACTGAACTGAACTGATTTAGAAGACACTAGTAATTCTGCCATTTTCTCTGCATAAAGTTTCTTCCATGAAGAATCTGGACACAAAGATGGACAAAAGAGACAGCTCTAATCCAGATCAAGTTCTAGAAGTAGAGCTCACGTTATCTCTCTTATTAAAAAAAAAAAAAGTTAGATGCTGAAGAAGCTAAATATTCTTCCAAAACTTTCACAGAAAGGCTAATCAGTTACTAACATAATAAATCAGTGTACCTGACTTAAAAAATATATTTTCACTTACGATTAGTAAGAAATATGGAAGTCTGAATTGTGGCATATCAGTCTCTCAAGAACAGGTAAGAACTGATGAAGCGGCAGCAAAGTTGGATTTTTAAATGAATATATTGATACCCAAGTGCTCAGAAAAAATTCTTTTCGAGTCTACTATCCACGAATTTACCAGAAAGCCAAGTTAACAACACAAGTAATCTCGCAGACATCTGAGTTAGCCAGCACCATTTTGCTGGAGAGGGGACTGGACGCTGCGGGCAGTTGGGAAGGTTATAATCTGAGGAAACTAAAGGCGCCTGCAGAGAGGCCTCTTTAGTGGTCTCTGACGAAAAATGTTGAGAGAGAAGTAAAACCGCCCCAATTTCCCCAGAACTGTCCTCACTCGAAGCTCTGGTTCCAGGAGACGCACGCTTTGATGAGGTAAGACGGTCCCCTACGATTTACAGCCAATCGCTCTCAAAGGGTAGGTCTCTAGGTGCGCAAAGAGAGCCGCCTCAGCCGCCTTCGCCTCCTCCAAGTCCCTATCTCAGCCGAGTGGGGAGCAGCGAAGGAACCTCCTGGCCAGCCCCGCTGCGCTGACGGGCGTCGTCGCGAGCCAATGAGCGCGCAGAGAGGCGGAGCAGGCAGGCCGGCGGGGCGGGATTTCCCGCGCAATCGCGCGGCCGCTCGGCGCCCGGCGAGGGCGGTGGAGCCAGCGAGAGAGGGCGGGTCGGGGTCAGCTGCTGCAGGCGGGCGGGTGTGGGGAGCTGTGGGCGGCCGCCTCGTCTCTTGCCACCGCCCTCCGTTTGCCACGATGCCGGGGATCGACAAGCTGCCCATCGAAGAGACTCTGGAGGACAGCCCACAGGTTAGGCGGCGGGAGGCGAGGGAAGGAGCGGGGCTGGCCGACTCCAGGCCTGGCGCAGCCGCGGCCGCAGGTGCCCACCCTGGCCCAGGTGGGCGCCGCCCCCCAGTATCCCTGCCAGTCGCGGGCGGCGCCCGGAGCTGCCGAGGCCGGGCCGCCCTCCCGAGGCCCGCGTGGGCCTGCGTCGCTGGGCCGAGAGCCGCGCTCGGGGTCTGGGAGTCGGCGGGCGGCGAGCGAACCGCCGCCGCCGTGGCTGGTGGGCCCGGTGGTCGCTACGCGCGCGGGGCTCCCTTGTATTTGTCAAAAGGTGCTTTTTAATTGCTGTGATGTGAGGTGATAAATCCAGATCCTGGGATTTTCTTTTCGAAAACCTCTTTGGAGGAAATGCAGGAGGAGAAAAGACCCTGTAGACTCAATGATTTCTGATCAGGCTAGGAAAGGACATGGACAATTTTGGGGGGGAAATACTGAAAGTCTGTTGATTAGCTCGTGCGGAAAGCCCTTGACGAAGCCCGTCACAGATCCTAGAGCCTCCGGGCCGAGTGTCGTGACCCTGAGTGCAACCGCTGTCACTCGGGCCGTGCACGCCGAGAAGTGGACGGCGCCTTTGCTGCGCCCGGGTTGCAGACTTGGCTCTAGTAAACTCATCAAAATAAAAGCCCCGTGTTTTGTGCATTGGGGATGATGCTGGGGTGGTTGCTGTAGCTTAAGATAGTCTCTTCCTTAAGACAGGAAGACGTAACAGGGACTTATGTTTTCAGTACTGAAGAATGAAATCAGCTATGTTAAAAAAAAAAATGCTGGTGGGGGCTGGAACTTGGGCTGAGAAACTTCATTCCTAGGCCTGTCTTCTTACACAATAAGGGATTCGAGACGATGTTGCTGTTGGGCTACCACTTAGAATGAAGATAGTTTTCTGAAATGTTCATTTAGAACTACAGTTGCACATATTTCATGTGTCTTGATGGTTTAATATGACTCCAGAAGAACAGGAGGGAGAGGCTAGATCCCACTTTCCTGTATGTCTTGTCTGCCATGGATATGGTGCCAGTTTTGACTGCCAAGTTGGAGTTGGGCTCTGATTGTAGAATTGATTGGGTTTTTTTTTTTTCCACGCTGACAGTTATCTTCACAGGCCTGATCTCTGCTGGTAATGTACTCTTATCAGCCTATACTGACACAAAGAGAGACCGACTTCTTGGCTTATTTTGACTGCCAGAATAATAGCCAGTTCACATATTTAATGACTTCTGTAGTATAAAGTTATAAGCTACATTTGTTTCAGATGTTAAGCAAAAATTTTCTGGGATGTATTGGTCAGGTACACTTTGTCATTTTATTTTTTTATAAGACTCAACAGGCTGCCTTACCTTTCTTCTCTTACCTGGCCTGGCTTTTATAGCTGCTGATAAAGACTGCTCAGAATGGGTTACACAGTGCCCTTAGCCATGACTTACAAGGAGGATGTTAACTTATCTAATTTCTTGAGTTTTTCACACAGTAAGTTTACAACTTGAGCATTAGTTTTGTTTTGTTTTGTTCTGTTTTTTACAAGCATGTGCCATATTAGTATTCATTTTTAATGAAATAGCCACATTGATAGTCTTTCAATTTCTAGAAGTAATAAATCTGAACTAGTTAATATTTATGTGGGAAAGTTAATTGGGACAACTGGGATTTAGAAAGGGAAGGCATCGGGAAGCAATTCTAGGGGAAAACTTGTGGCAAGAATGAAAGCCCTGGATTTGGGATTTAGGGTATAAGGGTTTTAATCTCTGCTGCCAGTTGGCACCTTCTGCTTTATGGCAAGTCACTTAACTCTCTAGATTTCACCTGTTACAGACAGTGAAAGTTTTAATCTTTGTACTTGATTATGAAAGCAATCGTTGTTTGCTTCAGAAAAATTAAAGTTACGGAAAGCACAGTTACCTGTCTAGTATTTGGCAGCGAACTTGGTTAATAGTTCGCTTTCTTTTTTGGAGGTTTTTTTCTTTCCCTTACACCTTTTAATGTGATTGAGACTATATTGTGCATAATGATTTATATTTGGCTTTAACTACACATCATAACTTAAGTATCTTCACACATTATTACATACATACATACACACATTACATATTACATTACACACACATTATTACATACATACATACATAATAAACAACTCAAAGGTTGCGTGTTTTCTTGACTGACTTAATATGGTTGTCCTGTTGTTGGACTTTTGTAGTTTTATATAGAGAGCTGAGATTAATGCTTTGGGACATAAATTTTTGTTCTTATCTGGACTGTTTATCTAACATCAGTTCAGTTCAGTCCCTCAGTCATGTCCAACTCTTTGCAACCCCAGGGACTACAGCATGCCAGGCCTCCCTGCCCATCGCCAACTCCTGGAGTTTACTCAAACTCATGTCTGTTGAGTCAGTGATGCCATCCAACCATCTCATCTTCTGACGTCCCCTTCTCCTCCGCCTTCAATCTTTCTTAGCATCAGGGTCTTTTCAAGTGAGTCAGCTTGTCGCATCAGGTGGCCAAAATATTGGAGTTTCCAGCTTCAACATCAGTCCTTCCAGTGAACACCCAGGACTGATCTCCTTTAGGATGGACTGGCTGGATCTCCTTGAAGTCCAAGGGACTCTCAAGAGTCTTCTCCAGCACCACAGTTCAAAAGCATCAATTCTTCGGTGCTCAGCTTTCTTTATAGTTCAACTCTCACATCCATACATGACCACTGGAGAAACCATAGCCTTGACTAGACAAACCTTTGTTGGCAAAGTAATGTCTCTGCTTTTTAATATACTGTCTAGGTTGGTCATAACTTTCCTTCCAAGGAGTAAGCGTCTTTTACTTTCATGGCAGCAGTCACCATCTGCAGTGATTTTGGAGCCCCCAAAAAGAAAGTTTTCCACTGTTTCCCCATCTATTTGCCATGAAATGATGGGACCGGATGCCATGATCTTAGTTTTCTGAATGTTGAGCTGTAAGCCAACTTTTTCACTCTCTTCTTTCACTTTCATCAAGAAGCTCTTTAGTTCTTCTTCACTTTCTGCCATAAGGGTGGTGTCATCTGCATATCCGAGGTTATGGATATTTCTCCCAGCAATCTTGATTCCAGCTTGTGCTTAATCTAGCCCAGTGTTTCTCATGATATACTCTGCATATAAGTTAAATAAGTAGGGTGACAATATACAGCCTTGATGTACTCCTTTCCCAATTTGGAACCAGTGTTGTTCCATGTCCAGTTCTAAGTTGCTTCCTGACCTATATACAGGTTTCTCAAGAGGCAGGTCAAGTGGTCTGGTATTCCCATCTCTTAAAGAACTTTCCACAGTTTATTGTGATCCACACAGTCAGAGGCTTTGGCATAGTCAATAAAGCAGAAATAGATGTTTTTCTGGAACTCTCTTGCTTTTTTGATGATCCAGCAGATGTTGGCAATTTGATCTCTAGTTCCTCTGCCTTTTCTAAAACCAGCTTGAACATCTGGAAGTTCACAGTTCACATACTGTTGAAGCCTGGCTTGGAGAATTTTGAGCATTACTTTGGTAGCGTGTGAGATGAGTGCAATTGTGTGGTAGTTTGAGCATTCTTTGGCATTGCCTTTCTTTGGTACTGGAATGAAAACTGACGTTTTCCAATCCTGTGCCCACTGCTAAGTTTTCCAAATTTGCTGTCATAAAGAGTGCAGCACTTTAGCAGCAGCATCTTTTAGGATTTGAAATAGCTCAGCTGGAATTCCATGACCTCCGTTCATAATGATGCTTCCTAAGGCCCACTTGACTTCACATTCCAGGATGTCTGGCTCTAGGTAAGTGATCAAACCATCATGATTATCTGGAACGTGAAGATCTTTTTTGTACAGTTCTGTGTACTCTTGCTACCACTTCTTAATATCTTCTGCTTCTGTTAGGTCCATCGCATTTCTGTCCTTTATTGAGCCCATCTTTGCATGAAATGTTCCCTTGGTATCTCTAATTTTCTTGAAGAATACTTTAGTCTTTCCCATTCTATTGTCTTCCTCTAATTCTTTGCATTGGTCGCTGAGGAAGGCCTTCTTATCTCTCCTTGCTGTTCTTTGGAACTCTGCATTCACATGAGTATATCTTTCCTTTTCTCCCTTTGCTTTTCACTTCTCTTCTTTTCACAGCTATTTGTAAGGCCTCCTCAGACAGCCATTTTGCTTTTTTGCATTTCTTTTTCTTGGGGGTGGTGTTGATCCCTGTCTCCTGTACAACGTCATTGTACAGGATTTATCTAGCATATAGTCTGAGAAGTTGATAACAGAAAGGAGGAAAACTTTTAAAGCTCCTGATATAGATGTATTTATTAGATTATTTAATCCTAATCAAACGTGGCCTGCCAACTGCTATATAAAATAGAACTTGGAAGTTGTGAAAGACTACCCTGAATTACAGTTATTTTTAGTTTTGTTGTGTGCGCCAAGTTGGTTTAGTCATCTCCAACTCTTTGCGACCCTATGGACTGTAGCCTGCCAGGCTTCTCTGTGCATGGATTCTCCAGGCAAGAATTGTAGAGTGGGCTGCCACCTTGTGGTTCTTCCCAACCCAGGGATCAAACCTTGGTCTCTTATGTCTCTTGCATTGGCAGGCGGGTTCTTTACCACTAGCGCCACCTGGGAAGCCCCTCTTTTTAGTTTTACTTTACAGTAACTAAGTATTAAAACAGAGGTATGTTTACAAGTCCAAATCCAGATAATTGAACAAAAACATTTTTAGGTTTATCTTGCTCAAACTGTACTATTCAGCAAGATATCATTTGTTGAAGTAGGAAATCTGAAGCCTATACTAGATAGCTTATCCATGTTTATATATTGTTTTTAAGTCAGAAACTTTCTGTTTAGTAAGAACAGAAGTGAAGTGAAGTGAAGTCGCTCAGTCTTGTCTGACTCTTTGTGACCTCGTGAACTGTAGCCTACCAGGCTTCTCTGTCCATGGGATTTTCCGGGCAAGAATACTGGAGTGGGTTGCCATTTCCTTCTCCAGGTGATCTTCCCCACCCAGGGATCGAACCCAGGTCTCCCACATTCTAGACAGACACTTTACCACCTGAGCCACCAGGGAAGTCTCAGTAAGAACAGAGATGATCTTTAAAAAATAGTTGATTTTATGTGTAGATAAATATCAATGATTCATCCAAGCTATAACTGGGAAGACAAACTACAGTCTCAAATGGAGGCTTTTCTCTTTGGCATAATGTGAAATACTCATAAAATAGGAGGCGTACTTTTTAAAATTCACATTTTTATATCTCTTATATTGAGATGCCTCTTATACTTGATGTTGTTTTACTTGTAATTGCCTGCAAATGTACACACTTGGTTATTTCTCCTAGTCACATGGCTGACCAAGTGCAACTTTTCAGTGTTGAGCCAACAAGTCAATTTAACAACCACTTGAAGGATTATCAGTCTTGTTTTTTGTCTGAAAATATTTCTTTGATAGCTGGTAAAATGAAGCAAGTGTTGCCATCAAAACTTGCTGACTGGATATCAATTGTTTGGAAGAAAACACTGAAGATAAAAGTGGAGCGCTTCTAAGAAATATTTGTCACCTGCTTGTGGCACAGAATAATACTGGATGTGAAAACATGGCTAGTGATGACTTTTTTTTTTTAGTGATGACTCTTATGTCAAAAAAATACAAGAGTTGAAATTACAGGGACTTCCCTGGTGGTCCAGTGGTTAAGACCTGTACTTCCAATGCAGGGAGCACAGGTTCAGTTCCTGGTCAGGGAAAGAAACATGCAACATGGTGCAGCCAAAAAAATAAATAAATAAAAGTTGAAATTTTAGAGTTGTATTAATTTAGGCAACTTGTGTTTTCTTTTTTTGTGTTTATGTGAGAATTATATATAAAATTCTGCCAAAGATCTGTTCCCATGAATATAAAGTAAAAACTTCAAAACATAAGAAAATCTGAATTCATAGCTTAATTGCCAGCATTATTTTGTTTGTTATAAGTGCATGCTCAGTTGCTCAATCATGTCCACCCCATGGACTGTGGCCCATCAGGCTTCTCTGTCCATGGTGTTCTCCAGGCAAGAATACTGGAGTGGGTTGCCATTTCCTACTTCAGGGGATCTTCCCAACCTAGGGATCCAACCTGGGTCTCCTGCATTGCAGGCAGATACTTTACTGTCTGAGCCACCATAAAACTGGTGCAGCTCATAGTGGATGTCATCATAGATTCTATGAAATGGTACCATATTGATTGCATTCGTGTAAGCTACTAACTTTAAACAGTCATTATACAATTTTCAACTTGATATTATGAACTTAAAAACACAGGGAAGCTGTTTCAACCCTGTTTGAGGCTAAGAACATCTTTTTAAGTTTACTACATGTTTTTGCGTAATGTTTTATTCCTTGAATTAGAATGATCATTTTTTGAAGATAAAAAGAAAAACCTAAGTGGCAGATTTTTCTTAGGAATGGAATTACCTAAACAAGATTTGATGATGTTTTCTTTTTTACATCTTACAGTAGCACTTGGGGAATGGGAGTAGGGCACTGGAGCTAAAAAGAAAAAAAAAAATTCTGTCAGATTTAAATCTCTGAAGCATACTTTGGTTTCTTTTCAGATCGTATAAATTTTTTTTCATTTTTAAATCTCTGGGGCATTGGGAAGTACAGGACTGAGATAAACTGGATTCATATACTGGCATGATTTTGTGCTGCTTTTTTTTTTTTCTTTAATCATAGTGACTTAGCTGCTGCTTCTGAAAATAGGAAGCTAAGAAAGAAGTTGATTTTTAAAAACCAATTTCTAAGGCTAAGGTGTAAATTAACTAATTGTACAATAAAAGTAGACCCTGATGCTGGGAAAGATTGAAGGCAGGAGGAGAAGGGGATGACAGAGGATCAGATGGTTGGATGGTATCACCAACTCCATGGACATGAGTTTGGGCAAGTTCTGGAAGTTGGTGATGGACAGGAAAGCCTGGTGTGCTGCAGTTCGTGGGGTCGCAAGGAGTTGAACATGACTGAGCGACTGAACTGACTGACAATAAAAGTACAAAGCTGCTTTTTAGATTTTAAGCTGTAATTATCTCAATAATTGTTGAAATTTAATTCTTTGCCTGCCTATAGGATATAAAAAGGTGATCATAGTTTGCCTTAATATGCTGTTTCCTTATATCTAACAGTCTTAACATTTACTGACTGACAAGTTTTTACTCTGAAAGTACAGGTAATTTTTACATGCCCATGCTCATTGTGCAAAAAAAAAAAAAAAAAAGCCTAACACTATAGAAATGTATAAAGAAGAAGAAAAAGTAACCTCAAAGTCTGCACTCAGAAAAAATCTTGTTAGCATTTTATAGGCCATGTTGGGGATGGAAAGGGGCATTGTGGTGTGATTTTGGATTGCAGTGGGGAGGGGTTTGATATCAATACAACTAGAAGAGACTGGAAAAATAGAAATAATCATACTAAATTATCCTGAGAAAAGATATTTAAAATATTTATACATGCAGTACTGTTAATTTAGTCTTACCTGAGTCTGTAGATTTAGTCTTAGTTTAATTGCAAACTTTCTAATTCATAAAAATATACCTTTGTGGTTCTTTCTAAGGTTTTGTGACATAGTTGGAAAATCTCTCTGTTTTAATGAAGTGAAATTGAGAATAAAGAACTCCGACATCTTGGCATTTCTATCAAAAGAGAGAAAATAGATTAAAACTGAGAACTGTTAAAAGTTCTAGTATCCTATGATTTTTTCCTTCCTTTAGGGGAAAAAAAAAAGATTTCCACTTGATTTATATAATGGTTAACATAAACTTACTGCTTTTATTTTATACAGACAAGGTCTTTACTGGGTGTATTTGAAGAAGATGCCACAGCTATTTCCAACTATATGAACCAGTTGTATCAGGCTATGCATCGGATTTATGATGCACAGGTAAAGAACTAAAGGCTGACTCAGTGCATTTATAAAATGAATCTTTAAGTCCATGGAGACAGAAATAGTATGTCTCTTATTTACTGGTGTTTAGCCCTGTCTGTGTTGCAGAGTAATAAACATTTGTTGAATAGATGAATGAAGATTCAGTATTTTGTGTTACAGAGCTCACATTTCTATTACTGGTGTATAGTTTGTAGCACTACAAAAGTGATGAAGCATCTGCTCCTCTTCCCCAAACACAGTAAGGACTTTCTTAGCGAAACTCATTGATAGTGAGCTTTGCCTAAGATTTGACTGAAAACCCCATATTGTCACCAGTATTTTCTCTAATCATGTTTTTAATCTTATGGGTTACTTACCCTTTTTGAGCAGAGGACTTGTAAGTAGCTAGCCTCTATCTAGTTAGAAGGTAATAAAGATTAGATATAGCTCCCAGGTATCAGAAGATGAATTCTAAAAGAAGGCAACTAGATTTTTTAGTTGAACAGACAAAAAGATTTGAGCCTGTGTTTATGCACCTTAATTATAAGCTTTAACAGCAACCTGGGTCCTATGATAAACTCTCCTTGGGATTAATTAAGAGCACCAGTTTCTTTTTTTTTCTCAATTTCTCTTCTTTCTGAACTCAAACGTTCATGAGGTACTTTAAAGTTACTGTGATAGCTATTTATTTTTCTTAGTGATAGGTCTCTCAAGAATTTAATTTCTGAAAAAAAAAAGAATTTAATTTCTGACTACACAGATTAATGTGTAAAAGAAAAATTACATTTGTCATTATACTCATCACTGAAAAAAGTCTTTAAAAAAGATATTACCTTCATATGGCTGTGTTGCTGTACTATATGACTAGGTCGACCACATTTTGGTTGTATGTTATTAAATGCTTCATAGTCTAGTATCAGCATGTAGAGAACAGGGATAATCAGTCAACACTGTAGACTGTCTTAAGATTTTGCAAAATAACATTATATACAGCTTACTTCTAGCTGTAACTATTAGTTTTTCTTAGCTGAAAAGAAAAAGCACACGTCTGAAACACTGCTAAATTCCTTGATGGTGTCTATTTCATGGTTTGAGTCTCCCTTTAAAGTGCTTTAGTTGTAGTTCCCTTTCCAGTGATTTAAGAGAACATGTTGTACAGTATTTAAGTGATGAATAAAAGTGGCGTAGGTATCTTCAATTAAAACTTCTTTCTTTATCTGTACTATTGTGTTAATTTGAATGTTCATCTTTTCCAGAATGAATTAAGTGCGGCAACACACCTGACTTCAAAACTTTTAAAAGAATATGAAAAACAGGTACTCTATATGAAAGTTTTAAAAATATGATTTAAAATGTGTAGTGATACAGTATCTATATAGATAAACAATTTCTTTTCAGTAATTCTAAGCATTTTAGAACTCATAGAAGGTAATTTTGATACGCCATTGAAATTCCATTATTCACTTATGTCTAATTTTAATGACTTTATGTTAGAGACAGAGGTTATCTGATTTGCCTCTTTTCTCTTATGAAGAAACTGAGGCTTTCTCAAGGTTACACAGCTGGCTAGCAGAGGAACTGGAGCTAATTTTAAATCTCTGAATTCCTAGGGTGGTGTGCATTCCTATATATCATGTTGATTGGTTACTTAGCAGACATTTTAATTAATGTGTACTAATTCTATGAATTACACTGTTTTATAAAAATGATGTTTTTAGAGCTTATTCAAAATTTGTGAAGTTTTCTGAAGTTATTTAAAAATGAAAATTATAGTGCCAGCCACAAAAGACAGAGCATTGGACCTTTACTTCATCTCTGTTTCTCACTTTTCAGCGTTTTCCACTGGGGGGTGATGATGAAGTTATGAGTTCTACTTTGCAGCAATTTTCAAAGGTTATAGATGAGGTAAATGCTTACTTTATTTTGCTTGGATATGTGATCTTATAATTAAGTTACTCAAGTTGTTTAGCTTTTATTGGGAACTTTTATTATGATTTTTATGAGTAAATCTCAATTATAAAAGATTACTATTTAAAGAAGGACCTTGTTTCCAAATCTTGGTGACTGTCTTATAAAAATAACACTATATATGTCTGATTAAAGCAAATTGTTTTCAAGGAATAAATGTATAATTGTGCTCTCTTGACTCTCGTGTACCATTCAGCCTTTCATTGTGTTGTTTGATGTAGGCAGGGAGAGAAGAGTTAAGCTGTTAACTAATCACAGGACTGCCAGGGAATTCCCTGCCTGTTTTTTAATTGGGTTGTGTTTTAGTACTATGTTTAGGAGTTCCTCATTCTAAAGAATACATGTCCCTTAACAGAAACGTGACTGGTAAATATTTGCTGCTATTCTGTGGGTTGTTTTTTTGTGTTCTTGATTGTATCCTTTGATGCATGAAAGTCAATTCTAATGAAGTCCAGTTTCTGTTTTCTTTGGTTGCTTGTGCTTTTGTGTCATTGCTAAATCCAAAGTTATCACATGTTTTCTTCTGAGAGTTTTTATCTTTTTATTTTTTTATTTTTTTCTTCTGAGAGTTTTTAATGGAATATTTTTGACTATCACAAAATTATGTGATATTAGTGTGCCCTTTTTATGTAAATGTTATCAACATCCTTTTTTAATTTTTTTAAACTGTGCTTCCACTACAGGGCAAGTGGGATCTTAGTTCCCCAACCAGGGATCAAATCTGTGATCCCTGTAGTGGAAGCGCAGACTCTAAACTGCTGGATGCCATAGAAGTCCTTGTATCAATACCTTCTTACTAGATTTTGTGTAATTTCCATAATGCTGGTTGATTGTCTCTTTTTAGTTATTTGGGTTTTTTGATCTTTCTTTTACCAGCTTAGCTCTTGTCATGCGGTACTTTCAACGCAGCTTGCTGATGCCATGATGTTCCCCATTACCCAGTTTAAAGAAAGAGATCTGAAAGGTATTGAACTAAAGCTTATGTTTACTTTCATTAGCTGTCAGAAGATCACTGCTTATAAAATGTGTATTACTGTACACCTTAACCATTTCTGACTGTAGCAAGTGTCACTTTTACTTCAGTTGTTAAACATTTATAGGGGCTCCTGCTAGATGTTAAGCTATATACTGAGGAGTACTGATATGAGTAAGATGCCACTTCCCTTGAAAAAGCTCAGAGAAAGAGATGGGTAAACATAATTACGGTACTCTGTTGGGATGAGAATGGTGCTGTGAAGGCTGGCTCAGAGGAGGGTATCAGGACGGCTTCACCACAGATGCAACATGAGCATTGAACAATGAAGAAGAATTTGCCAAGAGAAGAGAGTCATTGTTTTATTAGAGGGACCAGAAAGCACAAAGTTATGGGTTATAGAAATATATGACTTGCTTTGAGAAATTCAGTGTGGCTGCAGTGTTGGATGTGTTGAGGCATGGTGGGGGTCGCCTCTAGAAATAGATTAGATCATGCTAAAGATGTTGGACTTGAGCTTGTAAGTAAAGAGAAGACAATGGAGGTCTTTAAGAAGTGGACCTATTCTAACTGTTTTTGGAGGATGGATTTGATGCTAGGAGAATGGACCCAGAAGTTGTCAGAGTGCAGTGAGGTGTGACCAAGGCCTCAGCTGGGACAGTGGCATAGGAGATGAGCTGTGTGGGTGGGTTGGAGTGATGGGATGTATGGGGGCTGGCCCCTCTAACACTTCATGTCTCAGTAGCTTGTGGTGGGTTTTTTTTCCCCCATCTAGTATTATCAGGTGATAAAACAAGAGCTTTATAGACTTAACTTTGCTTTCTTACAATTTACAATCTCAGACAGTCATACAGACTTACCTACACAATACGTAGATAGAATAAAAATATTGAGCTAATGTATCAGTGATGATAAAGTATTTAATGATACATGGAATAAAGATGTATTTTGGAGATGGAATTAAAATGTCTTGGTAATCTTCAAGAATAATCTTTTCCAAGGTCAAGAAACAAGACCTCTTTTCTCAGTCTAAGGGGACTGAATATAAAAATCTTGTCAATAAAATGTTTCTCATTCAGCATTTGAACTTATTAGAGTCAATAGCAGAAGATCAGTAAGTTGGATTCTGGTACTAAATCAGGATATTTGTATATTTGAGAATTTGCAGTAGTTTTAAAATTTATTTTTCTGTCATAATTTGTGGCAAGTACAATTTCTGGTGGTGTAACAGTTGCTAATGAAAGTAAATGTTCCCTAGGGCTAGTTGAAACACAGTAACTTTTTCACTTTAAATGTTGAAGTTTGAAATATTACTTGGAGTTTTAATTGTAGCTTAAATTTCTACATAATTTAAGATAGTTCAGAAATATGCTAAACTTAAATTATTCTTGAACTTTTCCAGAAATATTGACATTAAAGGAAGTGTTTCAGATTGCTAGTAATGGTAAGCTCTGATTACTTTATACAGTTATTTCTTGCAGTGATCCAAATGATGCATTTCCTTATCAACACAAATCTGTAGCTAGATTTTATGCAATAATCAAAAAGAAATGAACCTAATTAAAAACTTAAGTGAATATTATTTAAATCTGTTGTTATTTAAGTTGCACTGTTTGTCCTAGAAGAAAAATTTCAAAGGAAGTTAAATCTTATGGTTTGTTACCTTCATGATACCTGAGAAGGTATATATATTTTTCCTTCCTTATTTTCCTGTATATTTCAAATTTTCTTTAGTGAGTATTTGCTGTTTTTGTACTAAAAATACTTTTAAAAAACTTTTAGTAGACTACTGTTTCCTTGAAATTAAATGTTTTTACCAATTTAATAAATAGAAACATACTTTAGGGTGTTTCTGTGTGCCTGTGAGGAACATGAGGGTTCATTGATCACATAGTAGAGAATTCTTATTTTGCTTCAATATATCTGTTGAAAGATGCACACGCGAAACCCATTAAAGCACTAAGTTCTGCAAAGTATTACTGCATTGTTGTTAATAGTCATTTCTATTTTCCAGATCATGATGCTGCAATTAACAGATATAGCAGATTGTCCAAAAAAAGAGAAAATGACAAGGTTTGGTACATATTACTCCTTCAGTATCACAGTTAACGGGCTTCCCTGGCGGCTTAGTGGTTAAGAACCTGTGTGCCAACGCAGGAGATGCGGGTTCAATCCCTGAGTTAGAAAGATTCCCCAGAGAAGGAAATGGCAACCCACTCTGTTATTCTTGCCTGGGAAATCCCATGGACAGAGGAGCCTGGTGGGCTGCAGACCATGGGGTCACAAAGAGTTAGACACAGCTTAGTAACTAAACAACAACAACAAATCACAATTAACAACTGTTTCATGAGATGGTCTACTTTTCCAGTTTAAAAATGCAGTTTGCCAGCAGTAACTTCATGCATTTTGCTGTATTACCCTTAGTTTATTCTTTCCTGTGGTTACTTTAGAGCCTTTCTGTTAACTGTTAATTATCAGAAAATTATTAGTTGTCTTTTTAAACAAAATATTTTTCTGTTGAAAGAATTTAATAAGTAAACATACTACTCCAAAAGTGTAATTGATGCCCAGGTGTAACATCATCCCCTTTCTCTTTGTATTTTGATCACATTGCATTTGTTTGTTAAATATATGTATTCAGAAGTGTGTTCTGAGATGTTGTGGTGGAAACGTTGAAGTGTTCCATACTTAACTGAATGAAATTCCGCCATGAGGCCCTCCTCCTTTACAGAGAATATGTGTGTTACGTGTGGATGGATGGATGGATGGATGGATAGATGGAGGCCTCCACCAGATATTTGTGAGTGAGGTATAGCCTCTGTGCCGGGGAATTGTATCTGCAGCCTCGCCTGCATCTGCTGGTAGGGGCACAGTGACCACTTGTGGGGATCCACGGTTGGGTATGGTTGACACTGTAGCGGCCACTGTGACACAGAAAGGGGGTATTCTCTCACAGAATCAGTACACAGGCTTGCTTTCTTTGACTACTCAATTTGGTGCAGATATTAATAAAATATATACATTTTAAGATCTACATTCGTTTGTTATTTTGACACAAAAAAAGTAATTAAAGACTCTGAGGATGAATTTTATTTTACATTGCCTCTGGCTGTTACAGGTAATTTTTAAAAAATATTTCCACTAATTTACTTGAAAAATTTGTTGAGCACCTACTACATAATGGTGACTATGGGGGAAACAATGTAAATAGGCTCCACTTCTGTCTTCAATGAGTGCATAATCCACATTTATTAAAGGCTTCCTGTATGAAGGCATACAGCTAGAGCAACTGCCAGAATACAGGGATTAACACGGAGTTACGTGCAGTAAAGAAGTCTTAACAAAATGCTGGGAGAGCACAGACAGGGCAGCGTATCTTTTTGATTGGTAAATTGGGAAAGGTTATACTTTTAGGAGGTGCCATTTGCATTGAAGATGAGCAGATATCAGTGGTTTGGGATTAGGGGAGAGGGCATTTCTAGAAGAAAAACAGCCTCTGCAGAAGCACATGGTAGAGTCTGGGGAGTGTAAAAGTTAAGAGCACTGGCTCTGGAGTCACACTACTTGGGGACTAATCTCAGCTCTGTGGCTTATTTGCCTGAGGTCATACACTGGTTAGTGAATTTCCCTCTCAAAAAACTCAGTAGTGGTGAAGATGAACGAGAATACATATAGATTACCTGGTTTTTAGCAATTATTATTATTTCTTGCAATAATTATAATAATGGAAAGGCAATCATTTCAGTGAATCTGGAGCACAGGATGTATCGGGAGGAGGTATGACTAAACAGAAAGAAAGTAGTCATTTGGGGCCAGGTTCCCACGCTAATGACTGAAATATGTGTTATCGAGAGTAGGCAGCCACCAAAGGATTTTAAGCGAATGAGTAACAGCATGCAATTGTGTTAACAATTAAAATACTAATGGAAATATGAAGGGGACAAAGTTAGAGGGAATCCAATGAAAAGGTACTGGAATAGTTTGCAAAGGTATTAGAAGAACCTCAGATAAGGTTGCGATTGAAAGTGGAGAGGAAGGAATACTTTTTAAAGATACTTTGTAAGTAGAATTGACAAGACTTACAGTAGGAGGAGGAATAAAAAATGAGTCCTAAAATTCTTGGATGATGGATGGATCCAGGAAAAATTAAAAGAGCTAAGTAGAGGAGCAAGTTTTATAGGGAGCATACTCTCTTCAGTTGTGTACATTTTCAGCACACACACACACATAAAGAACCCCCCTGGAAATCTGCTTCCTCTAACAACTGGGAGAATGAGGGGCAGGAGATAAAAACTGGGGAGTCATTGGTGCATTGGAATATTCTTGGTACTTGATTTGGTATTCTAAGGAAAGCAGGAAAAGAGAAGAGACAGAATGTATTATGTAACAGGTGCTCAATGAGTATTTATTATCTGAGTACAAGAGACATGGTTTAAGTGTGGGCAAAGGAAAACAAATTAAGAAAAGAGGTGCAGTAGGGAGAGAATGGTATGCTGTGAACTCAAAAAGGTCAAAGATTAATGGCTAAGCTAAAACCAGACTGTTGTTTGTTTTCCTCCAGGCTTTAGTTCAGTCACTATACCATTCTCAGTTATTTGCAGAATTCTGCTTTTAATGTGCATTTTAAAAAGAAAGTGGTTGGTAGTAAAACAGGAAAACTATCTTATCCAATATTCTGCAGGGTTTTTATCTCAGAAAATAAGAAAGCTATGTACAATTGCTGGCAATGCACTTTTTTCCTTGGATAGTCTCTTCCCCTTGGCCACTACTAAAGGTAACTTAAAATCAAATAAATAATTGTATTTTTAATCTTTTCACTCAAAGGTGAAGTATGAAGTAACAGAAGATGTCTACACTTCCAGAAAAAAACAACACCAGACCATGATGCATTATTTTTGTGCGTTAAATACTCTTCAGTACAAAAAGAAAATAGCATTGTTAGAACCTCTACTTGGGTATATGCAAGCTCAGGTGAATACTGTACTGTGTTTTGGTTTGTAACTGTCCTAAGAACTTTCTTTTAAGTTTGATTTTTATGTTAAATGTAAAGATATTACAAACTAAGGTCAAAATACTCATTTTTGTCTGTTTTTAAAGCATTTTTAAAAATGTCGTCAGTGTGCTATCTTAAGGAAGTTAGGGAGAAGGGTTTTCCTTGCAAATGAAGATTTCAGATATTTTAAGGTAAATGAAACACACTTACCTTAGATTTAGACCGTGTCCATCTCAGTTGAGGACTGGGAACAGAAAGCTAAAGGAACTCCAGAGCTACTCCTATTGCTCAAGCTTCCAATCACTCTTGTTTTATAATAAATCTGAAAGAGAATGGACATGCTTGAGTTTGTCTCATGTTCCCTGCATACCTCCTGAGTTAAAATTAATGGATAAACTCCACAGTATTCCAAGAGTTGTACATCAGGAAGGAGGCTAGAAAATTAAGTTTGAGTAACATAAGACAAAATGGCAGTGCCCTAAAAGGAAGAGTTTATGAAATTTGAATATTCCTTTGAAAATGAGTGCTTATTATTCCTCTGATATAAAACGTATCTTTGTAGTAAACATAAAATAGTTTATCCATATGACTTACTTGAAATGTTTTAAAATATCTTTTCTAATTTTAAAAACTTACTTACCATATGTATGTGTTACTGTATAAGAGGATGCATGGTGAAATTTAAGTGTAGTTTCTTCAGTTACTCGATGCTCAGTAAAAATCATTGTAAACTACAACCTATTTTTACACAAATGGGAATAACCCTTTTTTACTTAACTATGTATCTTGGTAATTGTGTATATGATTCACTCTAAGTATTTTGTTTGTGTGTGTGTGTTTTTGTTGTTAACCCTCCCACTCCTACACCCTCTTGCCCCAGATAAGTTTCTTTAAGATGGGTTCTGAAAATCTCAATGACCAACTGGAAGAATTCTTAACTAATATTGGAACAAGTGTACAGAAGTAAGTATTTTCTTCCTTAAAACTGAAAATGAAGTTATGAGAATAAGCTAACAGCTAAATACCATAATCTAAAAATATTTAGCACTTAATTTCAGATGGGCTGTTTTCCCTGCCATGGGAGTGTTTCTTGAGGGACTTGTGGATGCTTCTTGGTTTTCTCACCATCTTTTCCACAGAGTTTGAACTCTGAATTTCATAACAGTGTCAAATCGGATGGTATTTTTATTGATTTGAGACTAGGTTTTGTGTCTGAATATAACAGGCACCTAATAGTAATTAACCGTAAGTGAATTATCTTCACAATTATCTAAATTATAGAGTATGGATGGGAGATTATTAAATAAATCTTGCTTTCCAAGCCATGAAAGATTTAAAGAGAGAGAGAAAGCAGTTCTAATCAGCTTCAAAATCTGAGCAGTCATGTGGTTAATCTGTGATATGGAAAGAGATGAAAATGATTACTGTTTAAAGGTACAGGACAGAGCAGTTTGAAAATTCCATCAAAGTGAGTCATTTGGTGTGGATTCATTAGTTTTGGAATTTGGTATTTTCAAAATATATAAAGTTTCAAAACGTAAAGCTGCTTTATAGCATGCTACTTTAACCAGCCATGCTACTGCGGTTCTTTAGGAAAACGTACAGAACAAATATACAGAGAAATGAGACTGGTGAGGTGTCCTTTGTTGTGGTTGGTAGTAAATAATCTGTTCTCTGTGTTAGTGTTCGCAGGGAAATGGACAGTGATGTAGAGACCATGCAGCAGACAATAGAGGACTTGGAAGTAGCCAGTGACCCCTTATACGTGCCTGACCCAGACCCCACAAAATTTCCTGTTCATCGAAACTTAACCCGAAAGGCTGGATACCTTAATGCTAGGAAGTAAGAAAACTATTGTTATTTTCATATAATGTGTATCAATTAAGGCAAGAGAAAGTCAATATAATATACAATTGATATCTCCAAATTGTTTTGATTTTACTAACTATAGAATATTTTTACTAATACCACAGTTAGTATTTATGTCAACTTTTTGACAGATGAGGTACATGAGTAATTTTCAAAAGTAAAATTCTATTTGGATTTTTACCAAATTATTCACAATTATTTTAAACAGTGAAACCAATTAGAGTTTAAATAAATGGCATAACAAGTGAATGTTATGATAATCATTATCATAATTTAAAATATATGTGATCACAACATCAAGTCAAATGTTAGATTTTACTTGAAGAAAGGATAAAGCAAGTTAACTTGCGAAGTAAAATAAATTTTTTTGTTTTGAATTTATTCCCTTGAATGTTGAACTATATTTTATGGAGCATCATTATAATAGCTATAATTTGATCATTTCCAATCTTGTTTTGGAAATATATACATGCTCACTCACATAAGGGGGTCAGCATATGTGAATTTATGACTGAAAAACTGATGTTTATGTTTTTTAGGCACCTTGGTGCCTTTTTGCCTGGAAAGTCTTTGTGATGGGCTTTATCTTGTGTCTGGCTTATGATGAGATTTTAGGTGTATTGTTATTAAAGAATAAATATACTTTCTTCATTTAGTAAAACAGGCTTGGTGTCATCTTCCTGGGACAGACAGTTTTACTTCACGCAGGGTGGAAACCTCATGAGTCAGGCCCGCGGGGACGTAGCAGGAGGCCTGGCCATGGACATAGACAACTGCTCAGTGATGGCTGTGGACTGTGAAGACAGGCGGTACTGTTTTCAGATCACTTCTTTTGATGGCAAAAAGTTAGTATATTTCTCTACTATTAAAAAAAACTGTCATATCTTAAACTACTGAAATGTAGGATAATTCCTTTGCATTTGGACAGTGTGTAGATCTTTTAGAATTATTATGTATTAGGATAATTTCCTTTTTAGTTTTGTAGAAATTAGTTGAATTTTCCTTTTTGACTTGCATACATGATGTCTTAATATTTTGAGGCTGTCAAAGCAAGTTTATGTGGTAAAGACGTGTGATTTCGTGTTAAGAGACTGGTTACTGAAAGTCCAGGTGTAGGGAAGGCAGCACAAGTTAGTATGAAGAGTTTCAACATGGGGTCAGAAAGTTTGAATTCTGAATCCACCAGCTAGCTACTTTGTAGTCTCAGACAAGTTATCTAACCTCTCTAAGCTTCATTTTTCTACTTGTAAAATGGGAGGTGGGAGGGTCTTCATTTCTATTTTATAAACTGTTATGAAGACTAGAAATCTAACATATGTAATGTGCCTAATGTGTAGTAGGTACTAATAATAATATTTCAAAATGTTAATCATACATTTCTGATTATATTAGTTATTTAGGCCATTTGTGGTTATATGCCATTTTTAAAACTTCTATACCTTTGCATTAAACAAGAATCCCATAAAACAGCTTTTAAAACAAATTTTTGAGAAGCTCAGAAAAAATATAAAAGGGAGTATGAAAAAAATATAAAAGGGAGTATAAAAAAATATAAAAGGGAGTATGAAAAAAAACTCACTAACCAGAAGCAACAGTTAACTTCTTGGTTATTGCCTTACAGTTTTTGTATTTTATTCTAAGTACATTTTTTAAATAGTTGAGAAAATACTGAATGTTTATTTCATAGTCCTTCTGTAAACATATAATGGATGTCAGTTACAGTATGCCACTTATGACACTAGATGTTGGGAGTCCCTGTGTTCATTTGTCCAAATAACCTAACTGTTAATATTATTGGATGTATTTACATTTTTATATTTTCAGTTTTCTGCTAATGCTTAACATGATTTCCCATTTCATATTCCCAGTGTGATGCAAAATTAGCAAAAACAATTTTTTTCCTAACTCTTAAAATATTAACCTCTACAGATGAACCTAGCACCTATAATACAGAGTGAAGTAAGCCAGAAAGAGAAAGACAAATACTGTATATTAACACATGCATGTGGAATATAGAAAGATGGTACTGATGAACCTACAGGGCAGCAATGGCAACGCAACATAGAGAACAGACATGTGGACACAGTGGGGGAAGGAGAGGGTGGCATGAATTGAGAGAATAGCATGGAAACATATACATGACCATATGTCAAATAGATAGCCAGTAGGAATTTGTGGCACAGGGAGCTCAACCAGTGCTCTGTGCAATCTAGAGGGATGGGATGGGGTGGTGGGAGATGAGACGGACGTTCAGGACGGGAGGGGACATATGTACACCTGAGGCTAATTCATGTTGATATATGGCGGAGGCCAACACAGTATTGTAAAGCAATTATCCTCCAAAAAAAAAGAAGAAAATATAAACCTCTGTAGAAATGCTGTATCTCCTGTATCTCCTTATGTTAGTGATTAATATATTGAAAAGTTGTACTTAACAATATTCAAGGAAAAATAGTAAATAAAGAAGTAAAATGAGTGTTTTCTATTAAGACCACTGACTTGTATTTGAAATATATGTGGTGAGTGTCAGAAAGTTGAAATGCGTTGTCTTAGTGTCAGTGTCCCTTTTCTGTAGCCTGCCTGCTGAAAACCAGCACATTTCTTTTTTGGTACCTCTTGACATAGATAGACAAAGTGAAGAGTTGTTAAAATCTAAGTCTGATACCTCTGGTAGTTAGTCTCCTTGGTTACATGTTTTCTGTAGTGTTTTGTTTGTTGATACTGATTGGTTTTATGTGTATCTTTAAAGGTAAAAATTTCTCATTCATGTTAAAAGTACTTCAGAAAAAGTTGAATGTCAGACTTTCTTGGTTTTTTTTTTCTTTTCAGGTCTTCAATTTTGCAAGCAGAGAGTAAAAAAGACCATGAAGAGGTAAAATTTTATCTATTCATATTTGATTTCTTTAGCACCACCTTAAGCAATTTTTCTGATGACAAGACATGTTGATGTGTTCATTTTAGAAATTTGGGAAATCCTGGTTAATTTTTTCATAAAGGTCAGTTGTCCCTCCAGCAACATTCTTAAGTTTCCCGTGGAATTTTGTAAGTGGACCTATAAGGAGAGACCTTAGAGATCCTTGTTTGCTGTCCTTTTAGAAGCTCAGATTCAGAAATAGCCTTGTGACTGCTGCTCTCTGGCAGGCTGTTAGTATCATGAGGCTAGAGTTTAGTTATTCCCTTCTCTTACCAACCCTCTGAGACAGTATTCGCTGCATTAAGAACATAGTAGCAGCAGATGTAGCATGGCAGTAAGCAACTAAGGCTTAAAACCTTGGGGAAATGAAAGAAAGAAAAACAAAAATCTGGGAGTGTTCATTCTTCCTCGTGACTCTTTTGTTTTTGGCTCCACTTTTACTTGTAGTACACCAAATATGGAAGGTAAGTTACTACTAAGAACTGACAGTTGAAAAACTGTGTCTTGAGAAATCTTCAATGAAAATATACTCTTAAGTTGATTCTGAGCCATCTTATCTGGTATTATATAATTGTCTTGGTAGAAGACAATGTTGGAAATCACGTAGAGATCAACTTTTATTTACTTCTTATAGAAAAGAGTAGGTATTAAAGCCTGCTTTTGATCCCTGAGGAATACAGATATATGTCTGCTCTTTGCAGGGTTTTTACCAAACAGAATAAATATTAGGTTAGTTTTATGAGGCTCCTCAGGTACCAGAATCCTTGAGAGTGAAGCAGAGGATGTGGGGCAGCGAGTGTTTTCTGTGTTATTTATAAACCTGAAAGGGAAGTATGTAAAATACATTCACAAGGAATATATTTAGCTCTTAACTTTTTTTACATTGGTATTAATCATGATATCTGAGTCCAGACTGTTTTATTTGGTCGGGATTAGAGGAGGATGTGATATTAAAAAGATAAATACAGACTATTAAAGTATAATTTAATATGATGGCTATATTTTTAATGAAATAAATATGGGATTTAAAAATAACAAATCTCTTCAGTGTTCTGTTATACCTTCAAGTATTATACATATATATGCTTTTGTATATAGGAAGGTATCTTATAAGAAAGATTATATGTTACTTCTACTAAGACTTCTATTGCTCTCTTTTAGAAGGGAAGCACTGTAGAAAAATATACTAATCATATTTTTTCTGTTTTTTCCTCTTGGCAGTGGATCTGTACAATAAATAACATATCTAAACAAATATATTTAAGTGAAAACCCAGAGGTAATATTTTTATTTTATGGTATCCAGATCTGGCAAAATTTAGTAATTCGGTGGCTTGTATGGCTTTTGTTACATTTTCTCAAGTTCTGTAATCTTTTAACTTGCTCCTGAATGTTTTATAATGATCTTACGAATTTAAGAAAATCAGTGCTAACTGTAGAGGAGTCTTTTGCTTTTACTAACTTGATCTCCTGCCAATGTAGATTTTTCTTTCTGTTATGTCACTTGGAAACAACAAAAAATTAAAATGCAAATTAGATGACTTGTTTATTAACAAGGGAATTATTAACTAGGGACTACAAAGGGAATACAGAGTTTGGATTTGAATAATTCAGACTTACTGTACTTTTATCAGAAGTCAAAGTTTTAATATTTTTGAACTTATCCAGAATTATTTATGAGAGAAGAAATATTTAATCACTTTGTGATAGTGTCTTCATATTTTTGCCTAACTATAAGACACAGAAGTGCAAAAATGTTTTGTGATTATTTTTTCTAGTGTACACACTGTTTTATTTAGCTCGTGTTTTAAATAAGTTTTAAATTATTTAATAAGTTTTTAAATATTTCTTATGGAAACTTTTTTCAAATCTAGCCTGAAAATATCCATATTAACTTTATCAGTAAATACACAGATATTTCTGAGCATGAATACATTCTGTAAAATTATGTAAACTTCAGCATCATAGTCATATACTTAATATTTTGTGATTATTTCTTACTCCTTTTAAATTTCTATACTTAGCAAGTTTGAGTGCACATATGCTAGGCACTGTACTAGGTGCTAGCAATACAAACCTTAATCTAAAAAGTCTGGGAGTTAAAAATTTAAAGAAAAAACAATATTTCCTATTATGTATATTAATAGAAAAAAATCAGATTTTTCCCTTAGATTTATAGGAAGTAAGAGGAAACTTAAGTTATAATGTTGTGAAGTTAATCATACATATATCTTAATACTAAGGCTAGAAAATGTGGAACTACTTTAGTAACTTTTACAAAAGTACAATTTAAGTTTACAGTTTAAGTATAACTCAAGACCACTCTGAGAATTCAGAGTTATATTTAAACTGTTGGTTTTCTTGCTTTACTAATTAGTCCTTTTTTACAAAAATAGGAAATTGCCGCACGAGTAAATCAGTCAGCTTTGGAAGCTGTCACTCCTTCCCCATCTTTCCAGCAGAGGCACGAGAGCCTGAGGCCTGCAGGGTGAGTTGCCAGACCCTGGGCTATTTAAAGAGCTATGTGGGCTACTGGAAGTGTCAGCAAACACTTGGGTCTTAGCAGTGCTAGTTACATTAGTACAAAATGGTCCTAGGAAATGTATTTTCAAATTGGTGAATTCACCAGCAAGAGCACTAAATAAATAAAGATTCCAAATTTCCTTAGTGTTTATCCCTAGGTTAACGTGATTTATGTTTCTGAACTTAGTAATTGGAAAGAAATCTTTTGATAAAGTAGCTGTGATTTGGGATTGTATTTATTAAAATTTGTTCTTCTCATCGCTTTATAAAATTATATTTTTTTTCTCATGGTTTCAGTGTTTAATGTCCAGGAGAAAACTAAATGTAATGCTTTCTTGTTTTCTTCTCTGCTTAGACAATCTCGGCCACCCACAGCTCGAACCAGCAGTTCAGGATCCTTAGGATCTGAGTCCACAAATTTGGCTGCCCTCTCTCTAGATTCTCTTGTTGCCCCAGATACCCCAATACAGTTTGACATCATTTCTCCTGTGTGTGAAGATCAGTCTGGCCAGGCAAAAGCCTCTGGCCAGGGAGGCAGGTGGGTGATAGGTCTGTAAAGCTGTAAGGCTTATGAGTCCATTTCTACAGTTGAAAGCCATCTCTTACATATCTTGTGCATCAGCTAGGTTTTTCTTTCTGTAATTACCTAACAGAATTTTGATAGTTGAAGAAGAATCATGAAGGCTTTTCTCTGTTTTTGCCTCAGTTAAATGAGTTCAGATAATTTAGTTTTATAAATATTCAATTCTGAATGGTTTATCAGACCTACTTCTAAGGTATTTACTCTTAAAATTACAGAAGAAAGGTGACAGTCCTGTGACAATAAAGTTGATATCATGACAATATTTTAATGTATGAGAGTAATATATATGTGCCATAGATTTATTGGAAAATGTTATATTGTGTTAGAATAAGAAATCTCCAGCAAGGTACTGAGACATTGTCATGCTGTGAATTATTAATGAATTATCTTTATTTATATAATGATAAATCCTTGTCAAAGTAGTTAAAATTTTTCTTTGGTTATGGATGAGGGAAATATGGCTTAAGGCAAATCATTAAGTAGGTTGGACACTTAATAAATTAATAATGTAGTAATTTGGGTATACATGACTGAGGCAAAGAAAGAATAATTTACATTTGCTCATAGGAATATACTTAGCATTTGATATAATAGATCAGACACATATTAGGGAGATTAATTTCATGTTATCTGAAAGCCATTGTTATCTTAGAACCACTTAGCTCTCTGCTTATAAATCCTACTTTGGATTGTACTTTTCTTCCTTTATTGTGGGTGTGTCATGAGCCCAACACACTTAGGAAGCAAGTTGCTTCCATCTCTGGCTAGCTGTTCTTGCATTCTGTTATGTGTGCCTTGAGAAATCAGGTCTAATACTAGAAAATGTTCAAATTATTGTAGTTAATTTGCGTCATGTACTTAAAGGACCTAAAAGGTTTTTGGTTTGTTTTTTTCCACAATCCAAGGAAATTTCTGGCATTTTTCTCATGTAACTAAAGTTGAAGCTAAATCAGCCATTTCTCTGTCCTAGTTTATTTAAATTCAGGAACTTTTGAAACATGGTTTATTTTGATGTTGATTTTTGTATGTCTGTGATTAAACATCCTATCTGTCTACATTTTCTGAAATATAGCAACTTTGAGTTCAGCCTATTAGTGTAAGGGCAGGGGCCTTCGTCACAAGTAAGTTGGTCATCAGTAGTGTTCCTTAACAGGAAGGGGTATTTTTGAGCTTTTAAAAATGTGTGTACAAGGTTTCCTGACTTTTAGTTTTTAACTCTGGGTTCAGTGATTGAGATTGCTTCCCTGTGGCTCATGGTGACTGACCACTGGATCATAATTTTTTTAAATACTTTTCAGGCGTACAAATCCATTTGGAGAATCTGGAGGAGGTACAAAGTCTGAAACTGAAGGTAAAATAAGTGTAGTATTCTTATATTTTAGAGATTCTCAGAGGAGTAAACTGCAAGAAGAATTTGTTGTTTACATTTGTTCTGCTATATGTTTTAACGGTATCTTTACTTTACAGTTTTTTCTTTTTACTCATAGTGCACTTAAAGCAACAGAACTTACTCAGACTTAAGATTTCATTATTCACACAAAATTATAGAATATCATACTTTTGACTTCATAGTCAGATTCTCATTGTATAAGATATCCTCTGACCTTTCCTAACAGCTGTTTTTTTCTGGTTCTGGAGCATTTTTTTTTTTCTTTTTCCCATACTTATTTACTTTGATATAATTTCAAACTAACAGTAAAGCTGTCAGAATAGTGAAAGGAATTCTTTTAACTCAGAACCACCAGTTGGTGAAGCATAATCTTTTGCTGTTGGAATTTGAGATCTTACTTTTCTTATAACATGAACACTGTAGTTAGGAGTTATTTCTGAGTGCTTCTGCTAGATTGAATATTTCATTGGAAAACCTAAAGAAGGCAGTGTACTTAATTTCCTAGGAAAAGAAATGTGGGATTTAAAATTACATAATGTACCTTGTTTTGTTGTAGAGTCTATACTTCATCAGTTGTTTATTGTCCGATTCCTTGGTTCCATGGAGGTGAAATCAGATGACAATCCAGATGTTGTTTATGAAACAATGCGCCAAATTTTAGCTGCCCGGGCCATCCATAACATCTTTCGTATGACAGAATCACATTTATTAGTCACTTGTGATTGTTTAAAGTAAGTAGTAACCTATCCCTCAAAAAACTGTGGGAATAAATATTTACATAATTTTAGCATAATTAACATTTTTCCCTAAATTTTATTTATTATTATAGGTTAATTGATCCACAGACACAAGTTACAAGGCTCACGGTGAGTTCTGCATGTTTAAAGCTTTAAGGCTCTTTGTACATACACACAATTTCCATCTGATAACCCTGATTCTGTATATTTGGATATGGAAGCATGAATTATGATTGATTATTTTAAATGGTTATAATTGAGTGTATGATCATGTCGCCAAAAAAATGTTGTAACATTCCATGTAGTTGAAAGAATCAGTGCAGTCTGGTGTGATATTTAGTATTTATGTTTATCCATCAGTTAGGGAGCATACAGCATACACTAAAGAAGGTAGCTCAGATAGTAAAGCGTCTGCCTACAATGCGGGAGACCCAGGTTTGATCCGTGGATCAGGAAGATCCCTTGGTCAGGAAGATCCCCTGGAGAAGGAACTAGCAACCCACCCCAGTATCCTTGCCTGGAAAATCCCAGACAGAGGAGACAGAGGAGCCTAGTGGGCTACAGTCCATGGGGTCACAAAGAGTTGGACACGACTGAGTGACTAACAAAGAAACTAACAAATTAAGGAATTAAAAGGCCAACATGGTTGAGTTTATTTTATAATTATCTATTTTGAAATGGCTGCAGGCGTGTGCTTCTGTTTAATCATTTAATAACAAACCATATTTGTTACTGAATTTGACTTTGTAAAATGTGTTAATGACTAATAAATTCAGTATTCAACAACCTTTTAATGCTCCTGACAATCCAAACCAAATTTGAGATTGTTTGTTCTTGGATTACCCTTCTGTTAAGAGAAATGATTGACCCTAATGTTCTGTTTATGCTATTTAATAACTAAGTACATGAGTTTGTCATATATAGAAGCGCTGTTATAATGGTCTGAAAAAATCTCATGTTTGCTTCTGATGTTTTCCATGCAGTTTCCATTACCCAATGTAGTTCTGTATGCTACACATCAGGAAAATAAGAGGCTTTTTGGATTTGTTCTTCGGACATCAGGAGGGAGAAGTGAAAGTAATTTGTCATCAGTCTGTTATATATTTGAATCAAACAACGAGGGTGAAAAGGTACATGGCTTTTCAAGATGTGTTTCTATTGTGAAATATGTGTCAAAATTCTTACTAAGATTTTTGGATAAAACTCCCAAACTTTGTCCAGTCCAACTGAGTTGCTTCACCAAAGCCTATTGTTTTGAAGAGAGCTGAGCTGATGGGTTTGGCTATCTGACTCCACAGACCTGTGTCTTCCTGGCCATTGAGAGCTGGTGCAGTCTTCTGGCTTCATTAGCTTGTCTTGGAAATGCAAAATATTCCCATGATCAGCCATTTCCAAATGTCTCCAGCTTAGAGTAGCTTAGTATAGCTGCTTGCTTTTGTTCTTTGCAGCTTTACCATTTTAGTGATGAATCTGAGATAACAAGAAATGAGGGACTTGGAAGATGTGAGAGCCAGTGGTAGGAGCTCACAGACGGAAGAAAATACACAGAAGCTTGGTTTTGGAGCTGGAACTTTCTTAAATCAACTTTGGTTTGAAAAAGTGTATTATAATGACTTAGGAAACTAGTTACATCAGCCATTTGGACACTTGAAATTATCACTTTGATGTATGAACAGTCTGAGTTTTTCTTACTTTTTCCCCCTTTAGATTTGTGATTCTGTTGGATTGGCAAAACAGATAGCATTGCATGCAGAACTGGTAAGAATCTAAGATACTTAATTTTCCAAGAATATTAGCTCAAGTAATATAAGATCTTTCATATTAACAAGTAAATAAAAATGATTTTGCTATACAAAGTTAATAGTAGATGCTATTGCTGATATATAGCATTTAGAATTTGGATAAATGGCTAACATTAGGATGTAAATTTTTGGTGTGCTTTCTCATATAAATACAAATGATAATTTGAAAAGGTTACAAAGGTAATATTAATTGAAAAGTTAGTTATTTCATATTTAATTCATTAGTTGTATTCATCTATTCTTCAGGATCGCAGGGCATCAGAAAAACAAAAAGAAATAGAGAGAGTAAAAGAGAAGCAACAGAAAGAACTCAGTAAACAAAAACAAATTGAGAAGGTATGCAGTCCTAATGTCTAGATCGACTCTGACCAGGTACAATGTTTACAAAGAGTTTCCTAAATTCAGCACTGTGACTTTCATATTGGAATTTTCAAGTGAAGGTTCCATTTCCATTCGCTTAGCTGCATCATAAACCGATGATTCACAGCATAGCAGAAAAGGATGACATCTGTCTTCTTGGCTTCACTGCTCAGCTTGTGGGATCTTAGTTCCCCCACCATGAATGGACCCGGGCCCTCAACTATGAGAGCGCAGAGTCCCAACCACTGGACCACCAGGGAATTCCTGACATCAGTCTTGTGATACAATGTTTACATTATAGTTATATTGACATGTAGTGTGACTTGTTGTTCAGTCGCTAAGTCATGTCCCATTCTCTGCAACCTCACAGACTGCAGCACGCCTGGCTTCCCTGTCCTTCACTATCTCCCGGAGTTTGCTCAAACTCATGTCCATTAAGTTAGTGATGCCATCCAACCATCTCATCCTCTGTTGCCCTCTTCTAGTGTGACTTGCTATCTAGCAAGCAAACTAATATTCCAGTGAAGGTTGGAAGGTTGTCTCCTCAAAATAGGTCTTTTGAGAGGAGATATGTATGGCTTTCATCAATGGCAGTTAAGTATGTATGTCTGTATATACTTTCTCTGGTTTATAGTGAGAGATAATAATGGCCTGAAATGTAAGTTGTTAACCGTAAAAATGCAGATGATGAAATGTTGACTTTGATAGGATTTCTAGAATGGTGTCAAAATATACTTTGGTGTTAACATTGGTTTGTGTAGTCTTTGTTTTCAGTAAGTTGCCAGAATTATGCATACATATTTATGACAAAAGTATGGAAGTTGCTCTCAAGTATGTATTTAACTGCTTAGTTTTCCATTTGATTGCAGAAAAATTAACTCAGTTTCTTTTCTGTCTTTTCCAATAGGACTTAGAAGAACAAAGTCGGTTGATAGCTGCTTCCAGTAGACCAAACCAAGCCAGTAGCGAGGGGCAGTTTGTTGTCCTTAGCAGTAGCCAGTCAGAAGAGAGTGATTTGGGAGAAGAAGGAAAGAAGAGAGAGTCAGAAGCATAAACTTATCCTTGCTTTTTGGTTGATATTTCTCCCCCCTTGGAATTTGTTGACAATTTCTGTGGTAAAATGGCACAAGGTAACAACAATGTTGAACTATCAAGGAGGAGACTAACATTTGTATTTGCTTGTTTAACTTCATTTTTTAAACTAATATTGACCTTGATAACTTAGGTTTGCTCTGATTCTTTTTTTTTTCCCCTTAAAAATAATATACTATGCAGTAACTTTAAATTCCACATGTCTGAAAGAAACCCGTTCATATCCCTGAAGTAGATTGCTGAGGAATTACAGTTGCTCAAGCCTCTTCTTCCTTCCAATTGTGAACTTATTACCTGGCATTGTAATTGGCTGTGACCATAAGAAATCATTTACTCTTCAGCTTCAGATATTCATGGATATGCTCCCTCTCTTTCATTAGGAACATTTTGCTGGCAATGAGGAAGCTTTTGACTGAATAGGTTTAAAATCCTTATATAGAGAATTTTTCAAGTTTGCCAATATTTTAACAATGTTAAATGTGCAATAGAACTTTTACAAAATAGAGGTTTTAGACTTAAAAGTTTCAAATTGTGGCAGGTGGTACTGTAGATTTCAGGGCATTTTCTTGGATTGCTCGCATTTCTCTAATGCCAGTGGGAAAGAAGCTTAAGTGTCTTCATTTCAAGATTGCTACAGCCCTTGGCATTTATTATCACATTCTTAGTTCTCAGGTTGGGACTTGAATTATTGCTGCAGAGCAGTAATGGTTAAAATAAGATTTTGGAATTTACTAAAAGGGAATTTTTTGTTGTTGTTCAAATAAGTTTTAGATTAGGATTTAACATGTAAAGATTGTTACAGGATAAATACATTGTATTTTCTGCATTGTGTGAAATAATTTTTATTGAAAATCAAGGGACATTTAGAAAGAAGTTCTATAGCAATTATGTTTCCTGCTTAAAGTAAAAATTCCTAGAATTTAGTTTAAAAATGTAATCTTTTAAATTTCAGACTGATACCCACAGTATTTTCATAATTCCATGTTTTTATAAAATACTGATCACCACTTTATATCCATGTAGGCAAATAATATGTGAGCAGAGAATAATTTGCACTAATTATTGTAAATACTTATCCTCTTTAAATGAGTATAGTAAAAGCTCTAATTCCATGAAAGACTGAAAAACAATTGAGTGCTTGGTTGAGGAGAGTCAACCCAGGAAGGATTTTAACCTGGTGCCAAGGTTAAAATGACACTTCTCTACTGCCTAATTCTATGACAGAACTTGATTTTTTTTTTTAAACTTGGATTTTTAACATTGCTGATAGAAATTATGTTCCTGTGTTTCACATGTAAAAATACATATAGCCACGTTAAATATATTGAATAAAATATTTTACATAGTCATATATTTAAAATTTTCAAGAGATTAGCCACTAATTTTACAAGGAAAAAAACCTTTTGTTATTTGACATATAGTTTTTTCTTCTTAGTTCTGATTTAGAAATGGCATATAGTTCTCAGCTGTTTCACAATGTATATACACTGTTTTCTGTAGGAATGGAATAGGTAATTATATATAGGATTGTGGTGTTTTTTTAGCCATGTACCAAATGGGAATAATGATTACTTAATAATCATTATTTTGAAGCCTTATGTTACCAAAACATATAGTAAAAAAGTAGAAATTTATGGAATACTTTTTGAAAAGGGTTTATTTTGTCCTTGCTAAAGGGAATGCTTTCACAGTAGTTTGTGCATCATTCCTTTCTGTAGAAATTGAAATTTCTTCTGTGATCAGCATTTGGTTAGCCATGGCACATCCTGCTTTTAAGACCTTTTTGAGGATTAGTAAGCTTTCTGTCTCAGTAAGTCTTTTGTTTATATTATAAGGCTGCCACCTCACTTAGTTCAGGTGTAACTTGTCAGCCACCATGCAAGGAAGGTGGTCAGCATTAGAAGACAGTGTTAGCCAGGCTGGTGCTTTGCATGGTAGCAAAGCGCTGCCCTTGGTGAGCGCGCTCGGTCAAAATGTAGATGAAAGGTAACGGTACTGAGACTTAGGGATGCTGGACAAATTTGTGGCTTTTCTTAAGTCATATCTTGTTAGGAATTTCCACAATAACACACTGGTGCCCGTAGCTCAGACCAGAGTGCATTCCAATGCCAAACAGAAGTCATGTGTGGGCTTAACAATGTTAGATGATTCAACTTCTGTTTCGTTACTGTAGAACCATGTGAACTATTCCATTACAGCAGATACTTAACCATCAACTTTAATAAATTCTGTGTTTTGTTTAAAGAAGGCTCCCCATGGATTTTTACATAACATTCAAGCTGATCTTTGTTCCCCTTTGAAATCTCTTCAAGGTTTTGGATGCTCTGGTGGTAACGGCATTAGATTTTGGGATATCTTTCTCAGATTCAAACTTGCATTTAATGGTTTTTAGACCTTTCTCAGATTCAAACTTGCATTTAATGGTTTTTAGACATTAACAAAACTGATTCTTTAAAAGGAAAGGAATTTAAAAAAAAAAAGGAAAGAATTAAGTCTACCTAATTCTGCTAGGCACTCATGCTCCCTGTGTCAACAGTACTTTTATAACTATGGTAATAAAGTCAATAGATAGCAAAATAATTATTCCTTCCCCCTTGTAAAATTGAGAAAACTTGCTAACAAGGAACTGAAACTGTTACCTTGAACATAGTCCCCAGTCTAGTTTTTGCCATGACTATAATGATTACCTTGTGTTTAATTTCAAAAGAATTTTCAGATTCCACAGTATAGAGGTGGTAAATTTATGTTACTTTTATGCTTGAGAAAAGGATATTAGGGTGTTCATACCATTCTATGTCACATGTCATCATGTGTGGTAAAGGCATCTTTTTGAGTAAAGGCACTCATTTTGAGTTATATATTGGAATTGCAAGTATTTGAGTTGAATCCTCTTATACGTGCTGACAGACTGAGAGCCTATGTTTTGCAAAATCTGTCGCCCAAATTAATAAAATTAAAATATTAACATTGACTTGGATAACAGTCTCCAAGCATTCAAACTGTACTTTAAATATTCAAACACACTGATTGTAGCAAGCAAGTCTTTGACTTTATTTTTAGCAAGTTTGGCTTCCTCTTCTTTCATGAGATTTTTTTTTTCTTCCATAGTAATTAATAATACATAAAAATTGAAACTGGAACTATATTATACTTTTTAACTAATCTCTTGTGGCTGTACTCATATGTAATTTACTTAGGTTAATATGAGAACCAGGGAGTAAGTTATAACTAATGTGCAAAACCGCTTTGTATATTTGGTGATTTTGTAATGTAAGTGAATTGGTTAATTCTTATTTCACTGATACTATTAATCATGTATATGCAATTAAAAATTACGCTACATTTCTCTTTAGAATTAAATTTGAAGAACCAGACTTTATGTAATGGTGGTATACATGTGGAGTGGAGAACTTATTTTTTCATTATGTCAAAATAAGTATTCCTGATAAGGCTTCAGGAAATATGCTGTTAGGAGATTTTTAATGTATAATAAAGTCCATGATTTTTTATAGTCTTTTTTGTATGAAATATCTGGTATATACTCTAAATTTTATTGCTCCAAATAATTTCAAATGATGCTTATAAAACAAATGGACTTTTTCTTAATCTTTTATGATACTATTACACATCTATCTCTATTGCAATCCCATAACAACTAAAATGGGTGAAAAAATGTCACTCATGGGGAAATAGTACTAATTCATATCTAGTGACTTTTTTCCTTTTAGAAAAATTCAGGGACTTTTCAGTAATTACCCTAGACACGATACAGTGTATACTTGCTCTGCTTGGTCCTATTCAAAGGAATTCCTGTAGTTTAAAGGACCAGGTTTTTGTGTGCATCAGCTTACGTGGGTTGGGCCTGTAGTTGTAATACTAGTGAATATTCATCCGCTGTCCTCTCTGTGGTTCTCTATAACATTTACCAAGTTCTGTTCTACTGGCAGTTTCTGTTTTGTTTTGAATTTTATGACATGTATACATTTGTAGGAGGTCCAGGGAGCAGATGAAATTAACTTTAGAATTATATAATTTATCTAGGTGCATTTATATCCTAAATATATTTGTATATGAACATACATATAATCTAGCACTCATTTATAAACAGACATCACACTTTGATTAAAAAAATAAAAACTATTCATGCCAGCTAGTTTTGCAAAGTTTCTATGTGAAAACTGTATTATAAAAGTAATTTTAAGTCTGTACTTACTGAAATAGTCTATATAGCCATGAATCCCTACATCAGAAAGAAATCATATAGCTTCAGTTTCCTTAAGAAGGACTATATTATGCCAAAAAAAAAAAAATGTATGCTAAGACTGAACACATAAACATCAAGCTATAACTGACTAGGCCTGTGGCCATAATCCTGCCCCTCTGTTCTCTGTGTTGATGTGCCATATAATGGTACACAGGTGTGGCTGAATGAATGTCTTCTCAGTTTCCTTCCTCACTTCCACATCCAGAAACCTGTATTTAAATGCAACATAGAATATATAGAAACAAAATTGTAAACTAATATCTATAACTGCTTCTATCGGTGAGCCACTCCTATCTGTCTACTGGACTGGACTCAGTGTAGAAATCATAACCATCATCCCTTTGAAAACAGTTTTTATTCCAGTGATCACATGAACCAATAAATGATAACCGTTCACCAGGGTTTTGTGGAAAGAAGGAACACATGTATCCCGTTAATGATGAAACTGCAATTGAAGGTTCTCTTTCAGCTGAATTACCTCAGGACTGCACTCTACACATAAACAGACACTAAGCTATTCTTGGGACTTCTGTATAGGAACAGCTAATTTCTAGGACCATGTACTTGGGTCAGCACTTTATTCATTGTCATAACTAAGGCGTTTTATATATGTATTTCTCTATAAAAAGTATTACTATTAAGAATTATCTTGCATTATCAGAGGTAGCATTTATTATTTTGGGCATATAAAAATATGAATTCATACATTTAATGTAAGATCAATTTAGCATTAGAACTGATAATCTCAGTTAACTGAAATTTTTACTTTGGGTTTTATTTTTATAAAACTGCCTTTCATAAGGCTAGCCATCTATTGAGAGACTGTGTTCAGAGTGACTCTCTGAAGAACCTAGACTGCATTGAGATTTTAGTTGCCAGGTAAAGTAAGAAATACAAGTCAAATTTTAAGAAAGACATCTGCAGATTTGTACCTTTTCATCCAGAATAGTTTGATTACCAGGTTCCTGTGAAAATTCCTTGTTCATAAAGGTCATACTCTTTGTAAAGGACATACGCCTTTAGACGGTTGGGTAATGGAAGAAATGACATGAAGACGGGGCAGCGCAAACGTAAACGTCCCATACACTTCCGGATCTTGAGGCGGCACAAATGTTTAAGAGAGCGAGGGTTTGCTAAAATGCAAAACAGGCACGTTATCCAAAAGGAGTAAGAATTGATTGATTTTTCCATGATCTTAGCAAATGTATTTTATACTTAAGCCACCAAGATTTTCCTTTGTTGTGACTAAATTGGGAAGTAGCTTTTCACTCTCATTGGAAATCTTGTAGCTATGGTTTCAGACCACGTCATGTTAGAGTCCAAAGACTGGCATCAATTGTAGGTCTGGCCTGTGAGACCTAAAGCTCCTACATCTACATGTATTAACCCCCTGTCCTGCCCCTCGGAGTCAGGCTAAAAACTAAAGATTCTGTGGGGAAATTAGATAAAAGAAATTCTTCTTAGTTTGACTTAGGTGCTGCTGTGAAACAATTTTGTTTGAAGGGTCATTTACTATCCTTCAGAGTCTTAGATCTTAGCATTGTCTCATCTCTGTTTTTAGTGCCATTTCATAGTTGTTGTTTTTTTTTAATATTTATTTATTTATTTGCTTGCATTGAGTCTTTTTTGCGACTATCAGGATCTTCATTTTGTTGTAGCACAGTAGTGCGGCATATTGGCATGTGGGATCTTTGTTCCCTGACCAGGGATTGAACTCATGTCCCCTGCAATGACAAGCTGATTCTTAACCACTGGACCATCAGGGAAGCCCGATTTCATAGTTTTTAATTCCTGTGTCTAAGATGTTCCACAGGATCAAGAGAAAATTATTATCTGCCTTTATAATAAATAATTATGTAACAGATTTCATCTATTGGGAAATGGTTAATAAGTACACATTAAGTATATACAGTAACATTTTTTAGGTAGGAATAGTCTTTTTCTTGGTTTCTTTAGGTCAAGCTTTTAACTGGAGAACAATGTTCTGCAAAACAAGAGTTCAATTAGTACTTTTTGGTAAGAATGTTCAAGAAAGATACTTACTCAAGATAAAATGGATTTCTGACCAGAGCCCCTGTTTTTGGAGCACAGCTTTCAACTTTGAACAGATCCTAACTTGGTCAACATAATCAAGCATCACTCGAACAACCTTCCCAGAGAGATGCTGCAGCCATGACAAAGTTATTACTTCACAGAACTGAGGAAGAAAATCAGAACCATGAAAGTAAATGAAAAATTTACATATCTGTGTTTTAACATAGTCATCAAAAGAACACTAAACTCTAAAGTCGGGAACCAAAGGTTTCAGGTTCTTCATTTACAAACAAAGGTGTTGAACAAGAAAATATCTCTTGACTCTTAACATTGGGAAAATGCATACATGCATGCTGTCATTTCAGTTGTGTCCAGCTCTTTGTAACCCTACACACTATAGCCCCCCAGGCTTCTCTGTTCGTGGGATTCTCCAGGCAAGAATACTGGATTGGGTTGCCATTTCCTCTTCCAGGGGATCACTGGGAAAAATATTTACTACTAACTCTCCTGAACTTTGTAAGATACAATGAGGATTTAAAAGAGACTGTTAGATAATATTTATTATCTCCTTTGTTTGCCCGCACTGCTGCCTGGAATAAAGATTACCTTTCCAGCTTCACCTGCATCTAGATGTGGCCACCTGACTATGTCCTAGCCTGTGGGATGTCAGTGGAAGTGTGAGCAACTCCCAGAATGCTGTTAGAGAAGAGCAAAGTGTGCACTCCTCCCTGCCAGCCATCCTGCTCACTGCAGTGTGGGTGTGAGTTTCTCCTGTGAGTCATGGAACTGTCCAGTTAGAATGCTATTTACATTTGCCTTTATTTTATGAAAGGGGAATAAACCATCTTATTAGAGCCACCTTTATTGGGGGTTTTCTATCATTCATAACATAGTCCCAGCCTGATACTTGAAGCATAAGATAGTTTCTACCTTTAAGTGATTTACATGTCCTTAGACAAGATAAGATGCCCATGTAAGAATGCAAAGAATACTATATGAAAAGTCAGGAAGCCATACAAGATGACATTACCTAAATTAACCAAGTTGTTCATTAATTATAACCTAAAAATAACATACAATATTAAAATATTTGCTTTTCACTTTTCAGAATTGATCCAAAGTTTTTTTTTCATTTTATTTATATATTCAGATTTTAACAATATGAATTCAAGTATTTATAGTACATCTACTCTGAGCATAGATCTATAAGCTGATGAAAGTGGTGAACAAAAGCTTATATTCATGTATTTGTAGGGAAGAGAGATAATCAGTAAAATATTAAAGAATTTCAGAAACTGGTAAAAGTTTATAAAAGCATTAAAGACAATGATTAGGAAGCAGAACTACCTTAAATAAGATGGGTAGGGAAGGGCCTCTCTGAAGAGGTAGCACTTGAGATAACCTTGTGCAGATGTTGCTTCATTTGTGAAATTCCCTGAGTAGAGTTAAATCACTTTTTCCTCTAAACTGTTTCTGTACTTTTTTCATCTTTCTGTCATCAGGTTTCTCATATATTTATCATATTAAAATCTTTCCAACCAGAGCTTCTGGGAAGAGTGGAATTTTATCTTGCTGTAGTTCGGGGCCACCAATAGTGATGACACAGGGTGACTGCTGCTGTGGTGTGTACTCACCATGGTATCTTTGATGACTGTAGATGTCCAGCCTTCAAAGGCAGAGAAAGGATGACCTTTGTCTCCGTGAGGACAGTCGAAGCATCGCTCCGTGTCATACCCGTAATTCAGCAGCATCCTCAGCATGACTTCATCTTTCAGTGTATATTGCAGTGCCGATGGGAAATGTAAAGGGTTGACTCTGCAGAAGTAATTAACGTTGGCCCCGTGCCGTAGCAGCAGACTTACCAGCTCATAGTTGCCCATCCTGAGGGCTATCTGGAGGCAGTTAACTGGGTCTTGATTAGGCATAGCTCCAGCACTCAGAAGCAGCTTAACTGAAGAGAGGTCACCATTTGATACAGCGAAATACAGAGCCGACTTCCTGTGGTCATCGTAGTGTTTGCGGATTCTCTGATCGAGCATGAAATTCACATCAAATCCCGCCTGGATGAGAAATTCCAGGCATTTGGGGTGTGCTCCTGCTGCTGCACAGTGAACTGGACTGATGCCACTCCTCTTGATGGCAGCAAAATCAGTAACTGGAACCAAAATCTTCAGAGCTCTGAGAAAGAATTTCAAAGTGCATTAAAATTTTTTTTGTTAAGATGCAGCATTGACCTGTTTGTAATTGCTTTATACTAGCACTGGGTGGTATTAGTATCAGGTTTAGACCCCCCCAACCAAAAAAAGAAAAAAAAAAAGGCATAGTTCCTGCATGCAAAATCTCAGATACCAGGTAAAGTTACAGGTCTAAATAAAAAACTCAGAATTATCCCAGTCAGTGAAACCCAAGGCTCCCTGCATTGCCAAATGACCTGATAATAAGATAGTTTTATGTCTCTTCAGTGGCTACAGAGGATATCTGAATTTACCAGTTCCTAGCTGGTCCAGAGTTTCTTAATTTAAAAGGGGGTGTTGAAGTTGGAGGATCAGAGATGAAGAATATCAAGTTCCCAGAAACCACCCCCCAATCCCATAGCTATTACTATTTCTGTTTGCAATAGTGTGGTTGAACTTACAACAAGTGACCTCTGTCAGCTGCTACATGAATGGGCAGGTGACCTGAGTTCTTAGGGACGTTGGCATCAGCTCCATACTCTAGCAAGAGAGTCACAGAGTCTGGATTTCCTCCGCTAGCGGCTTCAAGTAAGATGGAAGAAGAGTCAGAGGCCTGACCAAGAGCATTAGCTCCTAGGAGGAGAAAGAGTGATGTTATGCAAAGAGTCTTTTCACTGTATTGCTTAAGTATTCTTAAGTATAAATACACATGTTGGCTTTCAGAGTAATTTTATAAGCAACGGTTTCTAACTTAAGAATCCCAGGAGAAATAATTTTATAGGTTTTATTTTCAGACCTGCATAGAAAAGCTTGCTTACCTCATAACTCACATATAAGATGGCACTAACTGTCCTGTTGTACTATGTCACCATGAATCTAATGAAGATGTTATGGTGGAAAGGGTATTTGTTCTGTTTTAACTTGTTGCTAGGGGACTGCATACTAAGAGACACTAGCTGTTCTTAGTTGAAGTTGGAGACTGCTGATACTTACAAGTGCCCTGTGAATGGTATGGGTAATAAGGATATAGACCCAGGCTGTCTTCTTGAAGATCTCAGGGCTGGGGCTGTGAGTGGGGCTGGGGTTGTAAGTGGGACTAGGAAGTGAAGGAAGGAGAGAGGAATTTTGGGTCAGTTTTGGAAGGCCTCTGAGTAAAATGGGCTTTCAACAAAGAGTAGCATTCGAATGGACAAAAGAAAAGGACACTCTGGTCCCCTTCACAGCTCATGTAAAAAAAAGCGATGGTGACTTTAATTTAGTGTGGACTCCATAATCATTAGAATATAAAATGGCTGCCCCAGAACCCCAGCTCTAGAATGCTTTAAGAAGTGTCTAATAAGCCCCCGTGTAGTGAGTACTCACTATGTGCTAGTTCCTTTATGTATAATTTCTAAACTTCACAACAACCCTAGGAAGTAGATGCTAACGTCTTCATTTTAAAGATGAAGATACTGAGCTTCACTGAGATTAAATTACTTCACCAGAGATGCACAGCTAGGCAGCAGGGTAGTCAGGATTCATGCCAGGTGGGCCAGACCCAGGGCCTATTTCTATGATGATGCTATGTTACCAGTCTAGCAATGCAGGCTAGTAAACTAATGTGATTTGGCATGAGACAGTTGTGGGGTCAAAGCCTGGCTCTGTTATTTAGTAGCCGTGTGCAAATGACTGTACAGGGTCTTACCTAAGGGAGATGCCCCCTCACTGAGGTCAACCCATACTGGTGTTTCTTTTTTTTTTTAAGGTTAAGGATTTAAAATCTGTTGCTTCTCTTGTTTCTTTATATTTTAATCAATGATCTACACAAGAGGTTGCTCTTTTTGTGCAGATGAAAGATCCAGTGTTTACTTTGTTTTTCTAGCTAATGACCTGAGCCATCTCTGACAGCACTCATAACATTTTACTTGAAATGTTTTATGGCCATTGATTGGGAACTAGCCTCTCCTTATATGATAGGAAGGATTTAGGTAAGTCTAAAAAGCAGAAAGTTGTTCTGTGCAGTCTAGAAAACTGGAAACCAGGACCATCTGTTGTTAGAGAAAGAAATAAGGCTTCTGGACACAAATGGGGAGGAGAATAAGAAGATAATTCTAATATTGGGACTTTATGAAATCTTGGGAAAGATTTGCTTCTTTGAACAAAAGCTTTAGATAATACACTGCTTCTTCTCACAGTGTCATCAGTGGGGTGTCTCCTCAAAGACAGTAAATGCCAAAGTTCTCTGAGCCAGGGTTTCTGTGAGTTAAACCAGGATCTAAGATGTCCATAGCTACAGCACTGGTGGCAGGAAAGGACGTGTTGAAGGGAAGTCCTGCAACTGGTACCATCACTGAGCCTCACTTTCCTCAAGGGTAAAATGAGGATAATGCCTATCTCACAGGGTTTGCAGAAGATTGTCTGAGGTAAGACAAGCAGCTTAATACTTGCTGCTGAGAAAGTAGTCAACATATGTAAGTTGCCTTCTTTCCCCTTCTCTCTTGTGGCAGAAAGTGAAGAGGAACTAAAAAGCCTCTTGACGAAAGTGAAAGAGGAGAGTGAAAAAGTTGGCTTAAAGCTCAACATTCAGAAAACTAAGATCATGGCATCCCATCCCATCACCTCATGGGAAATAGATGGGGAGACAGTGGAAACAGTGTCAGACTTTATTTTGGGGGGCTCCAAAATCACTGCAGATGGTGATTGCAGCCATGAAATTAAAAGATGCTTACTCCTTGGAAGGAAAGTTATGACCAACCTAGATAGCATATTAAAAAGCAGAGACATTACTTTGCCAACAAAGGTCCGTCTGGTCAAGGCTATGGTTTTTCCAGTGGCCATGTATGGATGTGAGATTGGACTGTGAAGAAAGCTGAGCGCCGAAAAATTGATGCTTTTGAACTATGGTGTTGGAGAAGACTCTTGAGAGTCCCTTGGACTGCAAGGAGATCCAACCAATCCATCCTAAAGGAGATCAGTTCTGGGTGTTCATTGGAAGGACTGATGCTGAAGCTGAAACTCCAATACTTTGGCAACCTCATGCGAAGAGTTGACTCATTGGAAAAGACCCTGATGCTGGGAGGGATTGGGGGCAGGAGGAGAAGGGGACGACAGAGGATGAGATGGCTGGATGGCATCACCGACTCAATGGACCTGGGTTTGAGTAAAGTCCAGGAGTTGGTGATGGACAGGGAGGCCTGGCGTGCTGCGATTCATGGGGTCGCAAAGAGTCAGACATGACTGAGCGACTGAACTGAACTGAGAGAGGAGAACTGGGACTCACAAAGAAGAAATCAGGAAGAATTTCCTAATAATTCATCTGGTAACAGATTGGACTGCCTCATCACTTAGCTCAAGCAGAGAAAACATGTAGAGGTAGCTTAAGCAGAGAAAACATACAGAGGATTTTGTGAAGTCTTTCATTCTATGAATCTAAAAAAGAATAGTAACACACAAAAATTAAATAGAAAGCAACCATCCTCTTAACATGGTCAGGGAACAGTAAGTAAAAGAGTAATCTGCAGCCTAGTAATTTCAGGGAATCTACTTCGAGCAAGTAAGAAGTATTCAATCCCTATTTTAGGTTTTTTTTCAGTAGCTAATGTATTAACATGTACTTCCATGAAATATTAAATTAAGCTTAAATGAAACATTAACTTCTATTACTTTGAAGCTCTCAGTGAAGAAGCGAACACTTTGGTCATGTTACCCTGTAGTAAAAGTGTGCCGACGGTATAGGAAAACCTTGCCTTTCTGCAGTAAGAGTTGCATGATTTCAGTGTGACCGCTTTGGGCAGCAAGAGCGAGAGGAGTGAATCCGTAGGAGCTCTGTGGGTCGGGGTGTGCCCCGGAAGCCAGCAGGAGTGCCACTATGTCCTGTCTGCCCAGCTTGGCTGCTTCGTGGAGCGCTGTCCTCTTGTTGGCACACAGCAGGTTGACGTTGGCCCCATGGCTGATGAGCAAGGAGGCCATATCATAGGAGTCCTGTAGAACAGCTGGGAAATTGGGAGTGAGGGAGGTGTCATGTTCAACAGGAAATTCAGGCCAGAGTATCTGATCAGCTAGTTTCCCTCAGGCTTCTTAAGGAGTTCTTCCTACCTGCCCCCCATGTGCCAACAACTTGTGCTTAGGAAAAAAATGAGGCACATATCAAGTAATATTAATAGTGTTTTACATCAATACGGCTACTTGCTTTTAAGTCATGACCAATTATTCATTGTCTATTGGCTACTTATGGGCTGAAAAACAAGGTTTTCACATATCATCTTTCAGTTCTCAAGAAAATAGGAACTTAAGTATCCAGTACAGCCCCAGGAATGTTTGTAGTTGCTTTACTTAAAGAAAACAAAAAAAAAAGCTATAATTAGGAAATCATTTTTAACCTCACACTTTGTAAACCAAATTCTCTAACTGGTATTTCTGCATTTATGCTGTTAATTCACATTTGGATGATAATCTTTAGTCCTTTAAGATTCTAGAACTTAATTTATCCATCTTCCTATCCATTCACTAATTGTTGGCACCAACTGTGTCTGAGGAATCTTGCTAGGTGTCAGACACTGAATCAGGATGAATTCTGCTCACTGCTGTTTATCATGTGCCATATAAAGAGCTATAATTGCTCTAAGGCTAGAAATATAGAGAACCCAAGGGTATTGGGTCTTTTTTAATTCATGGAGTTGGCACTTTGTGCTCTTTCATTCTAGAAACACATGTCCTTTGTTTTAGGAAATAACTTTCTTGACTTGTTTCATTGATGACATACTACCTCCATCTTGTGTGTTCTCTTTCTACTATTTCTGTTATTCACATGTTACCCTTCTTCAATTGTCATCCTAGTTCTCTTAGTTATTTTTCTTTCCTATTTTTCATTTCTTTTCTTATTTTCAGTTATGTAAGGTAAAGCTTACATAACTTTATCTCATAGCATTTTTAAAAATTTCTACCATATTTTTAATTTTCAAGAGTGTTTTGCTTGTTCTTTTTTTAGTAGTGTCCTGATATTTTATTAATTTTCATTGATTTTTCTGAGAAAATTAATGATAACTTTCCCTTACATTTTATTATCCCTAAATAATCTGTTTCTTCCAAGTTGTTTATCTTTGCTTGTTGGAGACTTTTCTCAGATAGTCCTTGGATATATCTGCTCATGATTTAAGAATTGGAAACTAAAAATCTGATTGGAAATTCTAAACACTGACTTAACTGAAGGTTGATATGCCTGGGCCATTTGTTGGGCAACTTCCAATTGCACTATCTTTAGTTCTTTCTCCTTAAGCTGATCAGAGAAGCCTCCTCTTGGAGGGTGAAGTTCTAGCTGTCAGCTTTCTAGAATTTGGTGGAGGAGAGCTGGGAGATCTCAACTTGTGTTTGCTTAATTCCTCCAGTGTTTTGAATACAGTTCCTGCCCTTGCCTAATCATCTCCAGTCCTGAGACCCTTTGCTCACACTATTCAGAGAATAAACCTCCAAAATTTTGCTGGGGTGGAGGAGGAATCTGACCCAGCAGGGTAGATTGGGAGAAGTAATCTAGATACCTGGGTACTGGTTTCTTCATAGTTTTCAAACAGTTTTTCTATTTTAGCTGCTTGTTCTTCATCCCTGTGTTCCAGGAGGTAACTATAGCCAACAGTTTCCAGGCCTTCTGATACAACTGCACTGGTTTTTGGCTTTCCCCACTCCAATTTAAAATTTAGCTTTCTTGTCACTTATTACTCATTGATCTATCTGCTCTTCTGGTTTTTAAAAATCATGTTACTGTTGTCTCCTCTTCCAGTCTTCCCATTCTTCTATATCTTAACCCTTTAAAACATTAAATGAACTGTACTTCTCCTGAAGACTCAGGCAGCAAAATTGGTCATTCATATTTAATCCACTGACTTTACCCAAACACTGGCTGCTTCTTCCTACTCTGCTCCTCCTCCATATTTCTCATACCAAGATTGACTTGTTCAGCTGGGGTATCAGGCTAAACAACCAGCTCATAACTGGGCAGACACTTTGCCTCACCTCGCAAGCCAGTTTATACAAAGCTTCTTGGGAGACAGATACCACATGTGGTCAGTTGGGACTAGTGACAGTGCTGCAACTATGCACCAAAAAACTGCCTGTGAAGCCCCTGGGTCTAAGAGGAGACACAGGGCCACAGACTGTTCTCCAGAGCCAAGGTGTTAATTTACCTGTAAGAAGAGGTGAATTGCCTTCGACATTCTTGGTATTTGGATTGCAGCCATTGAGAAGGAGAAAACTGACGTTTTCTAAGAGGCAACTGCTGACAGCCAAAAACAGTGGCGTTTCACCATTGTGGGTGGTTTGCTCCCACACACTGAGTTTTGAGGCTGAAATAAATCCATTAGACCACACAGATTAAAATATGAAAATAAACTTTAAACTTATTTCTCAGAAGCTTTAAGAAGAGTTGTAAAGGGAGTTTACCTTTCAGGGTGATTTCCAAAATGTTCTTATTTAATTGTACTGCAGCCTTATGGAGAGGAAGCCAGCCTATCTCATCTGCTTCATCAAAAGCTGAATGGTACTTGGTCAACTGTGACAACACATCTTCCTTACCTATTAGTATGTCAAATGAGGACATATTCACATTTAGCACACGTACAAGGCAGCCCATACTGCTTCTGAATTCCATCATCAAGGTTAGTGCATGAGAAAATGGAATTCTGGCACACCTTTTATGAAAGGCAAATTAAATCACATAGGGCAAATAAGGGCTTCCCTGGTGTCTCAGACAATAAAGAATTTGCCTGCAATGCAGGAAATCTGGGTTCAATCCCTGGGTACAGAAGATCCCCTGAAGAAGGAAATGTCAACCCACCCCAGTATTCTTGCCTGGGAAATTCCATGGACAGAGGAGCCTGGCAGTCTATAGTCCATGGGGTCACAAAAGGTTGGACATGACTAGGTGACTAACACACATGCAGGGAAATCAGCGGTAAGGTCTTTAATCCAGCATTCCATACCACCTGGGTCTGTGAATACCTGTCATCTTATCACATATAGAAAACAGTTCTGTTCACCGAGAAGCCCAGGAGCTCTTTGCTAAGCTGTGGCTGAAGCAGTTTCTCTCAGGAAAGGCCATGTCAGACTCCTGACAATCAGCTGTGGACTCCATAGTGTCCAGCATTTGGGAGATCCTGTTTCTAGGCTGCCTGAACTCAGAGGGAAAGTGCTGCTAGTTGTCACCGTCACATCTTACCACAAGCTGAAGGGGATAGAATAAGAAGAGTACTTAACTGTCTCTATTGTTTCAACTATCTTCTTATAGTAAGCACTCAAAAAGCTGCAGGGGAAAAAAATATACATGAAATTCCAAACCTGAGGAAAAAAGTTAAGGACATAAAGCAAAAGGAAAGGGTAAAGGCAAAAGCAGTTAGCCAGGAGTGAACTTATAATGAGGCCATAACTGAGGCATAATAGAAATACTTCAAAACGCAGTATAACCCTTTATGTGCTCCAAAGAAACTCCTCTCTCATATGTCTTCCCATCAGTTTCTTTAGGGCAAGAACTGTGAGAACCCAGATCACAGTTGGCCCTCAGTTGATACTTGCTGAACTTAATCAAACCTGTCTAGGACTGAAATGTCATATTATCACATTAAAATTTAAATGGCCACTCTATAGTGTCACTGATTTTAGCAAAAATTATTTTTTTAAAAAAGTAAATAATCATGGTATAAGATTTTTAAAAAATATTCATGGTCAGAATCTGTGCTCAAAAAACACTATTAGCAGTTTTTTTTAAGTATTATTTTTATTAAAATATTTAAAGTTTTAAAGAACAATTTATGGATCTTATTTTTTAAATCTAGTAAATAACGATTGTCACCTTTCCGTTTTTCTTTTGATTATTCAATGAACCTAGCTTGAAGAAAATAAATTCCCTTAGACAGTCTGTCCTGATTACAATCTGGTCAGTCAAATTCTCTTAAACATTTAAAACTGTACTTATTGATTTAGCGTTGTATTAGTTTTCTATAACAGCTGTGTGAAATTACCACACACTGAGTGGCTTAAAATAAGACAAATTTATTATGTTCTGCAGTTCAGAGGTACAGAATGGGTCTTACTGGACCAAGATCAATGTGTTGGTAGTGTTGTGTTCCTTCTGAAGGCTCTACAGAAGAATCCACTTCTTTGCCTTTTCCAGCTTCTAGAGGCCACCCACATTTCTTAGTTCACTGACCCCTTCTTCCATCATCAAAGCTAACAATCTTGGGCCATGTCCTTCTACCCAGCCATCTCTCAGGATCTCTTTCTTCTGCCTCTCTCTTCCACTTTTAAAGACCCTTGTGATTACATTGGGCCTGTCTGGATAACCTAGGATAATCTCCCTATCCTAAAGTCAACTGATCAGCAATCTTAATTCCATCTGCAACCTTAATTCTCCATTGCCATGTAAGGTTACATAGTCATAAATTCTGGGGATTTGGACTGGACATCTTTCTGTTGGGGGCGGGAGGAGCGCTTTATTCCTCCTGTCTCAAGTATATGCTTGTTTCCTAATTCCTTCAAGTGCCCGATCAAATCAGCAAACCTTGCTAAGTATCATACAATTCTTTCAAATCTAATAACTGAAATTTATAATTATAGTCATAGTCAAGTTTAATTTCTTTGAAACATTTCAATACTCTTAATTAAATCTTTTACCTTTCAATGTAAAATCATGACTTCAAAGCTAATCACAAGGTTAATACAACAGGTAATCCAATGAAATCCAATTTCTTTATAAAACTTTTAACGATTTAAAGATTATTTTAAAGATTTTTTCTAAATTTAAAACAAAAGTGTAGGAATAGTGTGATAAAGAACAAAGACTCTGAAGCCAAGCTGTCTGGCTCTTTACTTACTAGCTTTGTGACTTTGGGTTAGTTGCTTAATTTCTCCATGCCTCAGTTTCCTCACCTCTAAGTGGGGATAATAATAGTACCTACCACATAGAGAGGTAATGAGAATTAAAATTTAAATGAGTTAATATTTATGAAATGCTCAAAAGTGTGGCACACAATCACTCCAAGTGAGTGTTACTTTAAAAAATTAAAAAAAAACCCAACGGTAGGTTTGATAAACTTCAATATCTCTACATTTAATTTTAAAGTCTCTTGGAGTTAAAACACATTTATCCCATTTTACCTCCAGCAGGCAAATGGAGGTCACCATCCCAAGCAAACGGTTTATCACCCCTGATAACTACTCAGGGCTTGAAGCTGCTGGCCGGCCAGAAGCATCTGACTAGGTGTGCTTGGCTGCAGGGCCAAGGGCAATATTCAGGGCAGTTGGCTAGTTGGCGCCATCACATCTCACCACCCGTTGAAAGGGGCAGAATAAGAAGAGGGGTCTGTGGAGTCCTCTTCTAGTGCTGTCATGCCAGAACTCTGAATCTGCACCCTTCCGAAAGGGTAGTCTCTTCTGGGCTTAAGTTTACACAATTATTCCTTCTGATTTGAATAAATACTTAACCCTATCCCACCCACACCACTAAGACTGACAACAACTTTCTGTGTCTTGGTGGATTTATACATTTCCTTGGCTCCCCAAAGACAAGATGCATTAGGGTTTTCTAGCCCTTCAAATTCTCATCTGTGTCTCCTTTTTCATTTCCAGTATGCCTCTCCTCACCCATATTTGTAACTAATCTCCTCCAACTATTTTCTTTACTGCCTAATTAAATTCTGAATTATTTTCTAATTTCTCTTGTCTGGTCAGACATCGTCTCATAGATACTATTTAAATGATGTCTCCTTGGATTCTGACTCTCTCTTCTGTTTTTGTCATAACACTAGCATCGTGCTTATGACAAGTCTCAACTGTTGAGTACCTATAACGCATTGCCAAAAAGATACCGTTACCTCTCATCCTCAGGTGACTGCTCCGCAGTTCCTGACTTCTGACTATCCTGTAAACTCTGTTGAATGATGAGCTGGGTGTCAAAGTCATCATCGATGTCTTCATCACTGGTGTAATTATCCATGTGGAATGCAGACAGATTTACCTTAAAGTCAAAATGAATTAAAAAATTTTTTGTAGTTGTGGAAACAGATTATCAACTGATAAAAATTATAAATGAAATTCAAAAAACTAAAATAAATCATAGGATTGATAAATGAAAAAATGCAAAATTTAGAACCAAAAATATTCATTTTGTGAATTTTACAAATAATTTTTCAAAAACTCCAGAGTTTTCTGACCTGCCACAGATTCAACATAAATTAGAAATTTTCTATGAGTAACCATCTACTTAATAGCTTACTCAGGAAAAGCAAGTTTTCACATAAAACTTGTTAGTGACATTGTAACTATGAAAATGTTCATATTGATCTATTTTAAACTTAGCTTATGAGTTTTTGTTATTGTAGCATCCACTCAAAAGAATATCTTTCCTACATGCAGTGAGTATTATGCTAAAAATATTTTAGTAAATATTAAAAATAAACATAGGAATAAATGTGCTTTCATAATATAACATTTGACTGGAATAGTGGGGGGAAAGCCCCAGTATATTTTATTAGGCAATATCTCAATGGCTTTAAAAGAACACTTCAGGTTTAAAATAGAATAGGTTTGATCACACACCAAAGACGTTTTACCTTTTGTTATATCCTCTAGGACAGCACTGAAGTTTTCACTGTTAAAGATTAGCACGTCAGAATTTTCATTTATATTTAGGATCTCCAGTCCCCAGTAGTGACTATTCCATTAATAGCTTTACTATAAATACTTGATCATAAGACAGTCTGGCACATTCCCCTTGTTTTTTACATGTGGTTTAGCTCTGTTTGGAAACATGGTCTCTTTTCTTCACTGCTGTATTCATGAAATTTAAAAGATGAAACATTTCATTCCTGGAATAAAGTGCTTTTGCAGGAGGTTGACCATGTGAGGTGAACTCTCCCTCTGAGGACTCATGCACATAGCCATGGCAAACCAGAATCAATTTTTCATGTAAGAGAGGCCAAACATTTTGCTCTGACTGAATTATCAAAAATGACTGTCCCTATGGTCCTGATTCACTGGGAAGCTGCACCTACCTTTTCTTTGGATTATAGAGCTGCAGCCTAGAATATCCAGGGAATCTTAAGGAAGGAATTAACTCCACACAAGATAATAAAATTTTGACTATAATTTTGTTGTTGAAATGTTTAAAAATGGATAATGCACCCTAGTATTATGAATGCATACTAAATAATAATAAACTATTAAAATAACAGAGCCCGCCTGGCATTTCCAATTAAAAGTGAAGCAAATGCCAAGCAGCATGATACCGCGTCCCGTGTGCAGGATCTCCCTCCAGTTGTCTTACCGCCTCTGCATGTCAGCCTCAGTGCTTTGAGTTTCCTCTCCTTGTCACAGTGGTACTGTGAGAAAAACTGATCTGACGTTTTAAGAGTCAGACAGAAGGGGTTTAGTTCTGAAATTGTTTCAGTGTTTTCCTTATTTACAATTTATGTATTTTAAATGTCTGTGTATAATCACAATAGGTGAGTAGAAAGTAAATTATTACTGAAGCTGATGAAATGACTTAAAACTTGTGAAAAAGATAATTTTTGATATTAGTCAAAATTTTATCCAGCTAGTCTTCCCAAATCTGTTTTTCACATATATATCAAACTAAAAAAAGGAACTAAATAAGTTTCAAAGATTTTCCATATGACTCCAATACACATTTCATGTTTTTCTTCACAGTTGTCTGTGGTCTCAAGAATCCATCTGGAGGGCTGTACTCCAATCGAGAGTGGTATATCAGGGAGGAGAACAATGTAAAGATCATTCACAAAGATCACCTAAAAGAATTACACCAAGATACTTGGGTTTTATAATGTATATATTTTCAAGTAAGCAGAGGCAATATTTTTTGTAACTTCTTTCAGATGTTTTATTAAGGTGTCCAATTTAGTCATCTAACTGACAAAGCAAAGCAACCCCACGTTTGATCCAGTGTTGAGTAGGTTGGTCTGTTTTCAACAACATTGCAATGACAAAGTTAGTAGAATGTCCTGTGGTGGAAAGAGTTCCTTTACGTTCACTTGTCTTGTAAAGAGGGCAGACATAGGCATTCGACTTCACGATCTTAGACTTTACAGCTTGAAAAAAAGGAAATACAGTCATTTGATAAAGGAAAAACAGTCACTGGTACTAAAAGAACAACTATTTATCTTGTAATAAAATGACCAGTTCTAAATCTCAGATCGTGATTATGATATTCGAATATTTTAAAGTTATTGTTTTGGTTTTTCTTTTTTTATAGTTGGCATATAATTATGGTTGTGAAACAAGGTAAGTGATTTCAATATGGTACGTGATTTTTTTTTTAATAAGTATACTTCATTTATTTTTATTTTGGCTGCACTGGGTCTTCATTGCAGCATTCCAGCTCTTCATTGCAATACACAGGCTTAGTTAACCTGTGGTATGTGGGATCTTAGTTCCCTGACCAGGGGTCAAACCCATGTCCCCTGTATTGGAAGGCAGATTCTTAACCACTGGACCACCGTGATTTTAAAGACCTGATCACTGAGCAAGTATGAAACACTGGAGGACTTGAAAGATAAGGAGAAACAAAACACAGCATAGGTAATGCAGGAGAGCAAAAAGAGAAACACAGTTGCTTAGAGTTCTAATACAAGAAATCCACAAATTAGAAGAAATTGAAGTTACTATTAGTTTTCACCAGGTTATTACTTGGAAAACTACACTCACTCACAAAAAGAATCTCTACACAATCCTTGCAAAGCCAGATATGAGATATTAGGAATCTTTCTAAACTGAGGCCACATCATAGTTATAAATGAACTGCTTTAGAAATAAAAACCCTTACTAGGTTGAGTGGTAATTGGGTGATTTGTAAATGTTTTCATTTACAATTATTTGAGAATTTAGAAAAAATAGAGAGGAAGGACAAAAGAATGAGCCTCAATTGTTCACATTTGGTGGGAAAATGATGATGGCAAAAAGCAAGCAGGTTTTACAAGGGGGCAAAGCTGGTGTCCACCCCTAGCGGCTTGGGTCACCTGGCTGGTTCCTAGGCCTAGGAGTTTCTTATAGTCAGAAAACTGTAGTCAATAACTGGAGACTATGTGTCAAACCTGTTTGTGTCTCTAAGATGTGTACAAAGGCACTTCAGAATCAAAATATTGATGGGAAGCTCTCGACTTGGAAAAAGGAGAAGTGAAGGGGAGGGGCAAAGAAAATGTTATATCCCATGTGATAAGAGGAAAAAGAGGCAAAATAATAGTCACAAAATAATAAAAATGCAGCACAAAAAGGGGGAACTATATATTTCCAATATAAACATTAAATCAGTATTTAGTATAATTGAACAAATTCTAACAGGTCTGAGCAGAGACTTATTTGGAAAGCAGTTGAAAATATCTATCATTATGCTCCATATAACTCTACGAAGTTTTGTTAGAAATATATTTACTTGGTTTTATCCATATGATGGGCATCAGGTCAAACAGAAGTTTGGGGTACTGTTCAGCAAGCAATCCACTGTGAAGAGAAATTGATAGATGTTTATTAGAAGTAAAACAAAATCTGCATCTTAGAAATTGTGACTTAGCCATTGGCTTTTAATACAAGAGAGGACCAGAGATATGCAGGGAAAAAATGTCAAAACAAAACCAAGTAAAAGGCAATGAAAAATTGAGAAAAACAGAAGACAATTATGGAAAGGTAATGTGTTAAATAGTGGACAAATATCAATTACTGCCACTTTAAAAGTAATGTCCATGAGGCAGACACTATGCTGTTACATTTGACCTTCACAATAGTCTTGGCCCAATTCCAATTCCTATTTCACAGATGAAGAGTGGAGACTCAGAGAGGCTGAGTACTTTTCTCACAGTAACAGAGTTCTTAAGTGCCAGTGTCAGGATTCAAACATAGAGCTTTCTATCTAGAAAATGTAGTTTATCTTTTCTATGTTACACTGCATATTTGTTTGCTTGCAAGATGGAAGGAAGAATGAAATGAAAAGATGAATATGTATATAAGAAAAAGTAAGTTAAGAGAAACGTCATGAGAATGAAGAAAATGAAAAGAGAGAAATAATCACATCAGCTATGTGCAGCTAACTCTCTTCATATCCCTGTCTTAGAACCATCTCTGTAGAACCACCTTCATGCTCCTTTTTTAAAAATTTGTTTATTTTAATTGGAGGCTAATTACTTTACAATACTGCAGTGGGTTTTGCCATACACTGACATGAATCCGCCATGGGTGTACATGTGTTCCCCATCCTGAAGCCCCCTCCCACCTCCCTCCCCACCCCATCCCTCAGGGTCATCCCAGTGCACCAGCCCTGAGCACTTGTCTCATGCATCCAACCTGGGCTGGCGGTCTGTTTCACATATGATAGTATACATGTTTCAGTGCTATTCTCTCAGATCATCCCACCCTCGCCTTCTCCCACAGAGTCCACAAGTCTGTTCTATACATCTGTGTCTCTTTTGCTGTCTCGCATATAGGGTCATCGTTACCATCTTTCTAAATTCCACATATATGCGTTCATATACTGCAGTGGTGCTTTTCTTTCTGGCTTACTTCACTCTATAATAGGCTCCAGTTTCATCCACCTCATTAGAACTGATTCAAATGAATTCTTTTTAGGCTGAGTAATATTCCATTGTGTATGTGTACCACAGCTTCCTTATCCATTCGTCTGCTGATGGATATCTAGATTGCTTCCATGTCCTGGCTATTGTAAACAGTGCTGCGATGAACACTGGGGTGCACGTGTGTCTTTCAGTTCTGGTTTCCTCGGTGTGTATGCCCAGCGGTGGGATTGCTGGGTCATATGGCAGTTCTATTTCCAGTTTTTTAAGGAATCTCCACACTGTTCTCCATAGTGGCTGTACTAGTTTGCATTCCCACCAACAGTGTAAGAGGGTTCCCTTTTCTCCACACCCTCTCCAGCATTTATTGTTCGTAGATTTTTGGGTAGCAGCCATTCTGACTGCAGTGAGATGGTAC